GTTTTCCTGTAAGCTTTGCCTTGGCAAAGATCTTTACTTGGGCAAAGGCAAAAATGCACAAAATGCACAATGTATCATGGAGCACAGAAGTGACTTCATTCCAAGGTGAGATCACGACTGCTGTTCTCCAGAGCTTACACCACACACATTGTGGCTGACAATGGTGCCTGGCTCTCTGTTTTTGTTGTTGTTAACCCTTACCCAAAGATATTTCTCCATTGATTTAATTGTTAGAGTAGAAAGGAGGGAGGAAGAGAGAGGGAGAGAGAAACATCAATGTGAGAGAGACACATTGATTGGTTTCCTCCCACATGACCCCAACAGGGGCTGGGATCGAACTTGAAACCCAGCTACAAGTCCTTGACCAAGAACCAAACCCTGGACCCTTTGGTCCACAGGCTGACGCTCTAACCACTGAGACAAACTGGGCAGGGCTCCCAGACATTTCAAACCCAGTTCTTTCTTCATCACTGGCCAGGGAATATAAATATTTCATTTTGTATTGCAGCATGAGCAACAAAGTTTCCAATCACCCAAGAGACCTTGCAGAACAGTCCAAATGCCCAATTTTAACTGATTCTTAAAACAGTAGTTGGGTGTTAATAAATTACTAATTACCAAGGGGAAAGAAAAACAAGGAAGACACAAGCCCCTGCCCTCAACAATCTAGTTATAACACATGGCAGAACTACTTAAGCAAAACAGACATGAGTGGGATCAAGAAGTTATCTCTTGATGAACTAGGATGTGAATGCAGCAGGCCAAGAGAGTGAACCACATTTGTAGCCTGATGAAAGCCCAGAATGTAGTAGAGGAAGGTAGTGGAGGAGTAAGTAGGAAAGGAAGGTTTGGGTCAGATGGTGGGAGTCATTCATGCTATGTGAAAGATGGCTTTTATACAGCAGGCAGTTTTTGAAAGCAATGTGTATAAAAGTGACAACTCTGTTTTGGCCAGGTAGCATATAAAAGGGAAGTTAGTTTCCATGAGTCAGAGCAACAGGAGATGCAAGTTGTCCTAAATACTCTCTATTTAAAGAAGGTTAAGGGCATGGATAAGCAAAGGCTACTGAGAAACCTACAGAAGAAAATTAGTAAAGGTGTAAATACCCCTTCCAACCTCTGAATTCCCAAGTTGCACAGAAACAAAATACAGTGATTCATTCCAACCCCAAACACAACCAAGTAAATGAGGCACATTAGCAAAGGAAATAGTTTTGAAGAAGGCTCTTAACATGAGCAGTGCTCATAAAATCCTTGATACCTTTGCTAGATCTCTTTGATGTCTTCTTATTCCCTTCAGAGGTAATTTCAATTTCGTCAGGATTACCCCCTTCATCTTCAATTGCCTAAAGGAAAGGTAAAAAAAAAAAAAAAAAAAAAAAGTTCACCATGAAAGTCAGTGCAGACTTGACTTTCAAAGAAGCTCCAGGCCGCTGATCTGGAAATGCATCATCTTCACCCCTTCCATTCATTCTTTCTCTTGCTCTACACATTGAAGCAAGGGCTCTGGAGTCAGACTCTACCAGTTCTCAGCCATGTGATCATAAACAGATTTATTTAATCACTCCGAGTTTTCTATTCCGTAATATGGGGCTACAAAAAAGTACAGTGCTTACCCTTAAAAGCTGTGTGAAAACTCTATCATCCATGTAAAGCAAGCACTGAACATTCAGCTATTTTTAACATTAGCACCACAATCTGATTTATCCTATTCCTGGGCTCAATGGAACTCCTGGGCTCAATGGAACTCAAAAAGGGAAAGGAACATTCCAATTTCCCGTGTCTTCACCCAGCAAGGTGCTATTTGGCCTTCTCAGTACCCCCACTCAGCACTGTCTGTATAGAACACTAACACTCATTGGCTGAGTTCCTACTGTGTGTGGCATGGATCAAGACATGACATATATTACCTCATGACTGACTCCAAAGATCTTGCTCTCAGCCACCAGGGGACCCACCTCAAAGGGTACAGAATTAGAAGACACTCTTAGCTAGCCCAGCCTCCCACCCCAAGAATTTGTCCTTCACTTCAACAGCCCCACTCACGCTCAGCAAATCAGTACTAAAGTGTCAATGATGACACCCTTGGATACTGGGCTTCATGTTTAGGTTTTACCAATGACCTTTTCTCTTTTTACTGTACTATCCTATGAGCATAATTTTCATTTTAACCCACTTCAAATACTATGTTTTGTTTGTAGGCACTTTCAGATTCTCAGGAGTTTCCCGTTTGCTACCTGAATTTAGAATGGGGCTTGGGGGTCCTGTACCTACCTAATCTGTATCAGGAGCAAAGAAAATTTCTCCCTTCTCTTGGAAGCCAGAGCTAGAAAAAAAAGGGAGTTTTGCCCTGGGATCAAGGAACAGACAATAATAAAGTCCCTTAATTCTGGACCACTAACAGTATAGAAGAACTGCTCCAGACAGGAGATGTACATTTCACCCTCACTATGTCTCTTTGGGGAGCAGTGTTTACAGGTCATCTTTATCGGGACTAAGGGTTCTAAGTCATCCTTATAGGCTTTAGCAAATTAACTTTGTGTGTTCCCTCCACCTTTTCCTCTTTTACCCTCTTCCAGGAAAAACAAACCAAGGAAGGGACACAAACTGGATGACAGAAGTGGAAGAGAAAGAGATGATCACTAGTAATTCCAGACTTGCTTCGGTGTGGTAGTAGATGAGAATATAGGCTCACAGTATTTACATAGTGCCCATGTCCCTAAGAAACTGAAAAGAGGGATTAGGATGAATTTATCCCCTCAAAGATGACAATGATGGAAGATTCCTGAAGTCACACACCAGTCTCAGCCACCAGCCTGACAGGAAGGTTCAATACCATCTTATCAGTTTTGCAGGTTTGCAGACTGTCTGAAGGGGAAAAGGATAAAACCCTCAACTTGGTTTTGACAGGAGGCCCTGGTGACCAAGAGAATGGACTACATCTCCCCAGTGCCAACCCTCATCACCCTCCTTGCATTTTCTCTAGGTAAGCATCTTGGTTGATGACAGGCCTGCCCTGCATAGAGAAATTTAGTATCCATAGTAAGTTAATAAAGAAAGTTAGTATCCATAGCAAAAGAAATACAAGCTCTAGTTAGGAAGGTTCCAACTGGCTCTGTTATGTCAACTCACCTCTCCAGCCTGAGCCTCCTTATCGAGGAAATTAAGAAAAATACCCACTTCCTCTCAATAGCAATCAATAAAAAACAAAATCCCAATCCTCAGTTGTTTGGGAGCCAGGTGGAATGAGTCACAAACCACACTGTAGGAAGTGGGAGATAGGTGTCAAAGCTGAGAGGGTCCCAAGACAAGAGGAGCTAGGTGGGGAAAAGGTAAAGAAAGAAGTCAACAGGAATAAGAAAAACGTAAAGGGTGAAAACATTTACTTAACACCATGCTTTCCACACCTATCCTTCAGTACCCAAGGTAGGGATTATACCCTCCGTTTTGCAAATGACACATGGTGGCAGAGAAAAAGTGAATTGTAACAACAATCACATCTTCGGTGTTTACATGTCAGGTAACATGCCAAGGCCCTTTCAGGCAACCTCACTTAGTCCTAAAATAAAAGCATTATCTTTTTCCTTCGTTTCACACAAGAATGGGCTCAGAAAGAATGGAATGTCTTCCATGCTAAAGATCAAGCCACGGAGACCTGACAGAGCCCCCAAGTCCTGTCGCACACTCTGCCTGCCTTTTGGGGAAGTCCTGAAGCCATCCTGGCGTCCTCCACAAGTCTGTCTTTTACGTTCCTGGTCACTATTGCAAAACACAATTCCCCTTCCGTGTTATACCCCCCAGCTAACGATGACAAAACCCCAAACTCTTTTTTTTAAGTATATTTTTGAGATGTTTACTTTATAAATTAGCCTCCTATTCAAGGCTTCTTGGCCCTAATGGGACAATAAACATCTATATTTCCAGAGAAGACTCCCGCGGCCGCAGGGAACCAGCCGGCTTGGGTTCAAAGCCCGCCGCCTCCTCTCCCCGACCGTGTGACCTTGGCCGAGTCCCCTGCCTCACCTAGAAAACTGGACTTCTGGGTTTCCCATCGACTTTTGGAGTCTGGGAGGATACAATGAGAGGAAAATGCTCAGCGACGTGGCTGATGCGGAAAACAGAAGCCCTCGGTCCATGTAACCCGCCATCTAGAACTGCGGGGGCCGCTGCGGCTTCCCCCGATCGCGTCAAATTTTACTTTTATTTTTCTCGCCCCAGTGCGACACTGGGATTTGAATCTGGGCCTGGCTAGGCTCGCAGCTCCCACTGGGGCCTAGAAAGAGGAGGAAGAAGCGCAGAGCGCCAGGCCGGGCGAAGGCCGCAAATGGATCCAGGGGCGCAAATGGGGCCAAAGGCGGGCCCCGAGTCCAGGGAAACTCTGTCGCGTCCGCGGGGGGCCCCCGACCCAACTCTTGCCCACCCCGAGGGGCCCGGCTCCACCTTTCTGAGCCTCTCCATCAAAACGCTCTTGTTGCCGCTCGAGTCCAGATTCCGTTTCTTCAGCTCCGCCCGCAGATCGATCACCCGCAAGTCGCTGAGGCGCCGCGTCCCGGTCTCGGACGAGGCGGAGCTCAGAGCCGCTGCGCCCGCCGCACCCGAATCGCCTAGGCCTGAGAGAGTCTCCGCCATTCCAGGGACCCTGGCTCCGCCACCCACTTCACACAGAACCGGGCCGGGGTTCTCTCAGCTCCTAGCACAAAATGGCGCCGCCTGCCAGAGAACTGCTCCAGCCGCCCCGGCTCGCCTCCCTTCTGCGCAGGCGCACCCGGCGCAGGACCGACACTCTCGGTAGCGTCTGCAAATGCGTGCTTAGAGCCCTGGGGGGAGTGAACAGACGCGTTGCGTCTCTCCGGCCTCCCGCCGCGAACCGCCGGGACGCATGCGTGTTGCAGATACGGCACCTGCGCGTTGTCGCTGGGAACGTGTGGTTGGTCGACGCGCTAGCCCGTTGCCGCTAAGAACGCATGCACGGCCGGAAAGCGGGCGGGAGGAAGTGAGTGCGTTTTCCTATTAGGCGGCGCCATTTTGTGCTCAGAACCGCTACAGCCGCTGGCTGTGTCGGGAGCAGGTGGCTGAGACGGGGAAACTCGGGATGGCGGAGGCTCTGGCAGGGTCCGGCGACTCGAGTTCTGGCACAGCTACAGTTGGTCCGGGAGCCTCGGAGACCGGGACGAGGCGGCTCAGCGAACTGCGGGTGATCGACTTGCGGGCGGAGCTGAAGAAGCGGAACCTGGACACGGGCGGCAACAAGAGCGTCCTGATGGAGCGACTCAAAAAGGTAAGGTGGCTCGGGGCCCGGGGATGGCGCAGGAGGACGGGCTACGCCCCCGCATGGACCTGTCACCGTGACTGCTGGGCCTGGGCGTCCCCGGCCTGCCCCCCTCTTGGCCGACCCCCGGCCCGAGCTGTCGGGGACAGGGGGCCGGGCTATGTGACCTTGGCCCCTCAAGTGCGCTGACAGCCCGCTTTCTTAAACACTAGGGTGGCCCCTGGACTCCTCCCCGCTCGAGTTTTAGACTGGGCTCTGTGACCTTGGACAAGTGCCTGCCCCTTTCTGAGCCTCAGTTTCCCTCCTTGGAGAGTAGATGACTGAAGGACCTTTGAGATCTTACAGGAAAGAGAGCTGTGCTTGTATCTGTCCCCAGGGCCTTTACACTTACCATGCCCTGCACCAGATTGCACTTCTCGCAGGTCTTTTGGCTGACTCCTTGTCATTTTGGATGTTTGAGATGCCACCTCCCTGATGATTGTCTCTAAATCACTCTGCAAAATGCAGCTTCCCTTCTCTGTCTTTCTCTATCTTGTCATCCTGTGTTTATTATCCACCACAAAGCACACAACACAAAATTGAATGTGGGTTTCGGGGTTGTCATCTCAAGCAGAAAAAGCTTCTTAAGAGTAGGGAACGTGTAAGTTTTTTGTTGAGTGCCCAGTCCTGTGCCAGGCACTAGGAAAGCACTGATGTACCTCCACCAGCACAATCTGTTTGTTCTCCCCCACCCCCGCCCCCAACACACACACCCAGGTCAAAGATGGCTTGTGGAACACCACTCAGCCCTTTGCCCATGTACACCAAGTACAAGCCTCTTGTTGCTATTTGTTATATTGTTAACTTAAACTATAAGGTTGGGCAGTTTTGAGGTTAGGAACCATTTTGGATCTGGTCATTGACCCTGATTCTGAAGACCCAGGTCACACACCTTTTTGTCTTGTGGTAATGGGGCCCAGAGAAAACCAAGTTCTGCTGGGTTCATCCTGTGCCTTTTTGGGCTTGAAGCCCAGATAGCAGAACCAGACTTGCTCTTTGCAAGGAAGGGTTAGAAGTTGTTACTTTAAAAAAACAATGTGTGCCTTGAAGCTCTTGATAATGTAAAATCCATTTCTTTCTGACAGGCAGTTAAGGAAGAAGGGCAGGATCCTGATGAAATTGGCATCACATTGGAAGCCACAAACAAGAAGACAGCAAAGCGATGTGTTAAAGGTATCCACCTATGTTTATAACTGCTTGAGATCTGAGTGTTTATTTTGAGAGCTTAACTTAGAGAACTGGTTTTTTAGCACTCTTTTTGCCCTCCGGGCCAGAAGGAGAATGTCTTTGGCTGTAGTTGTTCTCCATCTCATAATTAGGCCTGCTCTTCACCAGCTAACAAGTAGCTCTGTCATTGTGCTGGAGGAGGACACCAAGTAAAATTAAAATATATACTGAAAACATCTCAGCTCTTGACATTAGTATTTAAAAAGAACTAGAGTAAGATACTGTAAAAAGCTGCCCCAACTGGTTTGAACAACTGAATGCACCTGCTTGGCTTCCTTCTTGGTTCAGAAACATAGAACTTAAATCAAGGAAAAAACAGCAACCCAAGACCATATAGAACCCAACTTCTCTAGGGTCCAGAATAGATTGTCAGAGTATTTGTACCCAGCCTATTTAATTACCAGTGTGGTTTTTTAAAAAATTGAGATATAATTCATATTCTGCAAAATTCACCCTAAGGTAGCCCTGGCCACGTGCTCTCAGTGGTTAGCACATTAGCCCTCTTACCGAATGGTCTTGGCTTCGGTTCCAGATCAAGATCACGTATATGGATTGCAGGTTTGATCCCCAGTTGTGCACATATGGGAGGCAATTGATCAATGTTTCTATCTTACATTGATGTTTTTTCCCCTCTCTCTCCCCCTTCCTTTCTTTCTCTCAAATCAATAAAAACATATCCTTGGGTGATGATTTTTTTAAAAATTGAGGTTTCTTATGTTTAATTTTTTTATTTTAAAAAGTTATAAAAATAATACTTTTCAGTAACTTGGAAAATGTGAAAAGTACATGTGTAAAAATAAAATAATCTTTAATTATACCACTCAGTATTTTAACTATTGTTGGTGGTTTCCTTAGTCATCTCCATCTGTATGTATCTGTATACAAACATATAGGTGCTTTTTAATAAGGCACATCTACATGGTTTGTTTGTTTTTTTAACTTTATAGGAATTTTACCATATCATTAAATGTTCCTTGAGAGCTTATTTATTTTTTAAGTTGCAAGACACTGTATAGTGTACCACAGGGTTTCACAACCTTAGTACTGTTGACTATCTGGAGTAAATATTTGTGGTAGGGTGCTGTCCTATGCAATATGGTATGGTGAGCAGCATCCCTGGTCACTCACCATCCACTAGATAGTTGCCAGTAGCACATACTCCCCAGGTCTGATGGCCCCCAAAATGTTTCCAGATATTGCCAGGTTACTCTCCACTCTTCCCATTGACTCCCCATGCTGGTATCCCACATATGAACAAACTGTGCTTTGATTTGTTTCCCTTTCAGATGTTACGCTGTATACACTTCTAGATGGAATCCCTTGTCATGTTTTGAATCCCTTGTCATACATGTTAGTGCATGTCCTAAGGGGAACACCTAGAATAAAGTACATGTACTTGAAGGCTTTCAGTATATTTGGAGCCTCTCCTTCCCCTCTAACCCCCTTTGGGAATACCATCCTAGCATAAACTATAAATGGTTCTTTTGCATTCATAAGACTCAGGATAACCATGGATTTTATGGTAGCCTTTGCCTTGCAGAAAAAAGTTCCTGATCAGAAGACTGCTGAAAAGCAGGTGGCCTGTTTGAAATGGTGGATTATAGGGAAAACCAGCAAGTTAATAATCCAGAATGTTATTTGAGGTTGCATTTCTTTGATGACTAGATGGATATTACATTTTTAAAATGATGTTTGTTGAAAAATGCCTGTTATCCTTTGCTCACTTTTCTTTTGGGATGTTTGTTTTACTTTAGAGTGCTTTTGAAATCTTTTGAAGCCCTTAAGTATTTTGAGAAAAATCAAAACGCTTTGTTTAATAGAATTACAGAAATTCTAGATATTCGTTCCAGTGGAGACAAAATTACACACATTAGAACAGGCACTTCTTCTGGTTTCTACCTAACATGTTCTCTCCAAGATTGAAATCATTCTGCTAAACTAATTATGAGACCAGACCTGAGTGTTATCTGATTGAACAATTATTCTGTAATTAGGACAGAAGACAGAGGAAGAAGGCACAGAAGACAATGGCCTAGAAGAGGATTCCAGAGATGGGCAGGTATGTGGCATGACTGGAGACAGCGGTAGGAGCTCCAAGTCCTGGTCTACCTGGTCATTGACATCTCTCATTCCTCTTTATAGGAGGATATGGAAGCAAGTTTGGAGAGCTTGCAGAATATTGACATGATGGACGTTAGTGTGTTAGAAGAGTCTGAAATGGACAACAGCAGTGCTCCAGACTTTGGGGAGGATGGCACGGACAGCATCCTCGATTCCCTTTGTGATAGCAAAGAGTATGTGGCTTCACAGCTGAACGAGCTCCCAGCTCAGCTCACAGAACATGCTGTAGGTAACACTGAGACACCTGGAATGTGCCAGGAGTCCTGAGGCTCCCAGTGCTTATATGCTATTTATATGAGTAAGAACATGGTAGAGGTTGATTAAATAACAAGCAATAGAGTCAATCACCATAAACACATAACTTAGGATCTGAACCTTGGTGGTAAATTCTGTCCATGTAAACATAGGTCTGATATTAATTAATAAATAACTTCTCTGTGGTCCTGGAGAATATTTATAATTGGGTGGGAGACACTTTTTTAAGCGTAAATCATAAAGGGTTGACAGTTGATAAAAGTATTTTCCTTTTTAAAAATAGGTTTAAAAAAAAAAACTAGAAAGATAAAACAAAAACGGTTTATAGTCGCATCACCCAGGTAATCCTGTAGGTATTTTAGAAAGTTCACTATATGCATAAGAATAGACAGTCACATTAAAAGACGTGAAATACAGTGTTAAAAGTATTTGTCGACCCAGAAGAACCCCTCTTGTTAAAGCGATCCATTAACATCCTTGTGTAAGGTGGGCTTTAATTCTGTGACCAGTGTTGCCTTCCCAAGTTCTCCCGGTATCTTGGTGTAGAGCTCTCTGTGGCGGCCATCCTAGAAATGATGGTCGTTTTAATCTTACCAACTTGGCATGCCCAGCCATTTTATCTTAGTTGTGGCATTATGGCTTTAAACTGCCTTGGAAGTACTGAACTTTAAATCTTCAAGATCAAAAGTCACAAACTCCAATCATTACCACATTTTGACCTATGATAGAATTAAGCAACCGGTTTGCCCTTTCCGGGCATGATCCTGTTGTATCATGTTAATTATTTTCAGAGCACATACTGGGTTTCTAACTTCTTGGTTAATGGAATAATCCAGTTTCTGGAAAGGGATATTTTTGTATTTCACTTAAAAAGGTAAAAGGCCTTCTCTTCCCCAAAGCAGCCAGAGATGACCTCTGAAAATAGTTCGCTATTCACTTGACCCAGAAAACCCCACAAAATCATGCAAATCAAGAGGTCAGATCTTTGTGTTCACTTTGAGAACACTCATGAAACTGCCCAGGCCATCAAAGGTATGCATATTTGAAAAGCCACCAAGTATGTCTGAAGGATGTCACGTTATAGAAGCAATGTGTGCCTTTCAATCATTAGAATGGCGGAGTTGGTAGGTGTGCCCAGGCAAAACGGGGCTGGACAAAGGTTCGGTGGCCCAAAAAGAGTGCTGCGTTTTTGCTGCACGTGCTTAAAAATGCAGAGAGCAATGCTGAACTTAAGGGTTTAGATGTAGATTTTCTGGTCATTGAGCACATCCAGGTAAACAAAGCTCCCAAGATGCATCATAGAACTTACAGAGCTCATGGGTGGATTAACCCATACATGAGCTCTCCCTGCTACATTGAGATGATCCTCACTGAGAAAGAGCAGGTTGTTCCTAAACCAGAAGAGGAGGTTGCACAGAAGAAAAAGATATCCCAACAGAAACTGAAGAAACAGAAACTTATGTCCCGGGAGTAAATTCAGCATAAAATAAAGACTAATAAAAGAAAAAAAAGTAAAAGGCCTTCAAATTTAGTAAATTTTAAGTTGGGCTTATTTATTTTTTGGGGGGTTATTTTGGTATAGTAAATGGTAAAAACAAACAAAAACAGTCAAGTTAAATGTTTGTTAAATAAAGCACTGTAGAAGAAAGTGCCCAGTTACTATTGTTTATCCCTGAGTTTCGGGCTCGATTTCATGTAGGGGGTGTGCAGACAGCAGCCTGTCAATGTTTAAATAAATAAATAAATAAATAAATAAATAGAAGTGTTGCTACCAAGTGAAATCAGAGGAGTGCCTGGCTTAGAGTTCTGCTTTGGGAATTCTGTGGTTGGTATATGTAGATGACCAGTATGTGGAAACTGCCTGGGAAGTGAATTTATTCATTTATTTGGGCAATGCTGACAATACATGCCCTCTGCAACCCATTGTCAGTGATGCTGGTGTTACCCAGTGCTGGAGCAGGTTCAGGGGCAAGGAGGCAAGTACTAAACTGAATCTAACAGTTGATTTGCAGGTGGCAGTAGATATCTGAGGAAATAGACATGTGGGTTGCCTGTGACATAGTGACACATAGGCCTTGGCATTAATAGCTATGTCCCCACAAAGTGACCTTCCATCTTTCAGGTAGACGGGGAAGGCTTCGAGAGCACTTTGGATGCTTCATCGTTGGACTTCAAGGTACCTTCGGTAAGTGACCATCTGTTTCTGCATGGCTGGAAACTATATGAGTGGTTAACTCTCTGTAGTGGGAAAGGATGTGTACATGTATGTACACATGATTTGCTGAGCATAGGTATTGAGCTGGGTGCTGGGGATAAGATGTTGAGAGCCAGACTGGTCAATTTCAGGGGGCAGGGTTAATAACCAACAAAATTGTAACTGACAGACAAGAGAAGTTCGATAGGGGGAAGTTCAGGTAGTTGGCCAACAAAAGCATCTAGACGGCTTCTTAGTGGAAGTTCTATTTGAAGTAAGGTCTGATATCTGTCAGGAGTTAGCCTAGTAAAGGGGAAAAGAAGACTTTGGGGCAGAAGGGAGCATGGCTTACTGTAAGGATGGAGTACACAGGAGCAAGGGTGGGGCTGACTGCCAGAGTCTACAGGCCGGGTAAGGATTTGGCAGGCGGTCTTGCATACAGTGGGAAGTCGGAGAGGTTTCAAGCAGGGCAGAGAGATGGTTTTGTTAAGAGGGTCCAGTTATAAATAATAGTTTGTGTTGGGAGAAACACATTTTTTTCTCCAGTTCGGTTTGATGTATAAAGCAGTGGCCATCTGTGTGACCTCTGCCTTGATTGTGGGAGTCTGCCAGCTATGCAGGCCATTACATCAGCTTAGACTTGGGGTCAGGTGGCCAGATTCTGAGGGGAGAATTGAACAAGCTAAATAGTACCACTGTCTTTCTGCTTTTGCTGGGGAGAAAATGACAAAATGATTGTAGGACAGAATGGATCTGCCCAGTTTTTAAGTGCCTGTGGTTTTTCTTTCTCTTTTTTTTTAATTAGGATATTGAAGAACCACTATTGGAGCCAGGTACTGATAAGAGAAACACAACAGTTATGGTTTGAAAGTTTTCTCACTACTATTTTATTCAAGCTGTCTATATATTTTATGCCATGTTATGGTCTTATAAATGATTTTAATGGTGGACAATCCAGATCGTACAAGGATCAGAGATTGGAAACCCATTCATATCACCAGATCTGTGGAACAGCCGTTCTGGTTTCTAGAGGTCATGTATATGTGGTGAGATGTAATGATTATGTTCATCTCTCTAACCACATAGAGTGGCATTTTTGTAATTTCTCCTTGTGATTCTTCCATGTGTTTCTACACATGAAACAGATCTTGTGATATTTCTCTGCAGTCAATTTGAGTAATGGAGTTAAGGCAGGATAAAGGTGTTGTCAGGGCTTATAACCTGAGAAGTGACTGGATTCCAGAAGAGGAAACAGAGTTTCTTCATGAAAATTTCCAACATATTATTCCCCTTCTGGACTGCGTTTATCTCGCCATCTGAAGAGTTTCTGGTTTTCATATTGGACTGTTCTGTTAAAAGAAATTCAAAGAAATTTGGAAATTGAGCTGTCATTGAATGGTGACTGCATTCAGTTCAGCACCTTGGACAATGGAAAAATAAGTCAGAAGACCCAGACTTGAACAAAACATGAAGAAGACTGTTGAGAAGCAGCCAAGTGGTTATAGGTGTTTAATCTGTGGGGGCCTTTTCCATGTAGTGTAGAGGCTTACTCTAGCAGTCGGTTGGAGTGCAGGTAGTGTAACCAGTGTAACGTGTGTACCCGCGGGTTTTCCAATCTCTGTGTAGCTAGCAGTTCTCTTCGTGTTAGTGTGGCAGCCGTGCCAGTTCCACATTTGTGATTGCTTTATTTCCCTGGTAATTAAACCTTGTGCCATTCTATTCCTGTTAAATCCGTAGAAAATGAGAAAATACTCGACATTTTGGGGGAAACTTGTAAATCTGAGCCAGTAAAAGAAGAAGGTTCCGAGCTGGAGCAGCCATTTGCACAGGATACAAGTAGCGTGGGGCCAGACAGAAAGCTTGCGGAGGAAGAGGACCTTTTTGGCAGCGGTCATCCGGAGGAGGGTGATTTAGATTTGGCCAGCGAGTCAACAGCACAAGCTCAGTGGAGCAAGGCAGACACCCTGTTAGCGGTAGTGAAAAGGGAGCCCGTGGAGCAGACAGGCGGTGACGAGAGGACGGACTGTGAGCCTGTAGGGCTAGAGGAGCCAGTTGAGCAGAGTAGTAAAGCCTCAGAACACGCAGAAGCCTCTAGCGAGGAGGTCGCGGAAGCGCCCCGGGAAGCCTCAAGCCCAGACCCCAGAGATAGCAAAGAAGACGTGAAGAAGTTTGCTTTTGAAGCTTGTAATGAAGTCCCTCCGGCTCCTAAAGAGTCCTCAGCCAGTGAGGGCGCTGATCAGAAAATGAGGTTTGTTTTTTCTCAGTTTTAGACCAGACGCTATCTCCTTTTCATTGGTCGTTTAATGACACACATAAGCTGTTTTTTCTGCAATTGGCCAGCCAGACTGACGAAATTGTAGTTTACCTCTAAAGAACGTTTTATTTCTCTTTGTGTATTTTTAATGGCTGATTTGATTCCTTTTCTTTTTCCCAACCTACTATGGTTGTGTTCTTAAATTGCTAAGTGTTCTCTTCAGTTAAATCGAATTGATTTAAAAATCTGACATTGTATTTTGGGGGGTCAGATATCCAATATAAGCTTGCAAAAGGTGTCTATTAAAATTTTATTTCAGACTAATTTTCTGGTAGGTATTCAGTTTTAGCATTTACTATATTTTTAATTTAGTTCTCTTGTTTTTTCATGTATGATTAACATTAACTTTTGTCTCTAGTTCTTTTAAGGAAGAAAAAGATATAAAGCCAATCATTAAAGATGAAAAAGGTATGATTTAACTTATGTGACAGGGAGTCACCTATGGATCCCTTACCTTGGGAGGGAAGGGCTTAAAGATTGCCACATTCTGGATATAGTAGTTTGTTTTATTGTGGGTTACTGGAATAAACCATCTAGTTGTATCTTGAGAGATTAGTTTAAAATGCTGTGTCTTTTAAGTCTCTTGTGATTGTCATTTATGGGATAGTAAAAATTATATTACAGTGCATCTATTACAACCCTATTCTCCATTGAATAATGTGACAAGAGTTGTAGAAACTGCTATCATGGTTGAAATCTGATCATTGGAAGACATTAAAGTTTGTAACTGACCTGGACATGATTATTTCTCAAGTTAGAAACTCTGTTTCTGCCATTTAAATTTTTCAACTCTGTCTTAGGTATTGACAGTAATTAAATTCTTGAATTAGAAGAGTTGAAATTGAAAAAAAAAAAGAAGAAGAAGGAGAATTGAAATTGGATATAGTCAGGGTTTAAACGATGGCCTAATCTTAGTAGTGGTCATGCTTCCTTTCATTCCTGGTGGCAAAGCATAATCTTCTCCCCTCTGCTACAGGTCGTATCAGCAGCAGTTCTGGTAGGAATCTGTGGGTCAGTGGACTATCCTCCACAACTCGAGCGACAGATCTGAAGAACCTTTTCAGCAAGTATGGAAAGGTATGCTCTCCTTTCATCTTGCTATCCAGCCTCAATTTGGCATTACAAAATACACTCAAGAGTTTAGAAACCTACTTCATAATAATTTTATCATCAGTCATTTCTGGTTTAAAAAAAGGAAGGAGGGGGTAATCCTCAAAGGGGAGAAATCCACCTGGTTTTGGGTAGTGTGCCTTTTGTTTTTTAGTTGAGAGTAAGTAACAGGCAGAGCAGATCATCATGACATAGAACTCCATGCAGAAAACAAGTGTAAATAGCTACAGTCTGAATGTTCTTGTGGTTCTTTCTAACTTCTCTCCAAGAAATTGCTACATCTTTTGACTTATACAAAACTTAAAGCTGGCATCCTGGGTTTTTTTTTCTTTAACAGTAAATGAAGTGTTGACTTTGATATTTTAAAGTTATCTTAAGTATATAGTTTAAGAACTGGAATGTGATAGTGGTATACAAGTAAATTGCCTAATATGCTGCTTACGGGAACAGGAGGGAAATAATACAGTTTAGAAGGTTTCTGAGGTTGTTAAAGGACTTTTCAAAATGGTTCTGTTATTTTGGAATTAGGTGATGAAGGAGTCTGTTTTGTTTTTTTCTTTATTGATTTTAGAGAGAGAGGAAGTGAGAGGGAGAGAGTTAGGAACATCGATGAGCGAGAACATCGATTGGCTGCCTCCTGCATGCCCCACCGCTGGGGATCAGGCCCACAACCCGGGCACGTGTCCTGACCGGGAATCGAACTGGCAGCCTCTTGATGCATGGGTTGATGCTCAACCACTGAGCCATACCAGCCAGATGAAGCAGTCTTTTTTAAGCCATAGAGATTGCCCTGGTCTCCTGGGTGCCTATGGGAAGTGGCCCTCTGAGGTGGAGGTAGGAGACAGTGCCTTGAGGTTGAGAAGTTGCAGGGATTCCAGGCAGATTTTCTGCAGCTACCTCATCCTGGCTGCTCAATCATACCTTTGCTCAGATCCATGTCATCCAGTTGGGTATTGGTGAATGCATTCGTGACTTAAGCAGACAGGATCCAGAAGAAGCATTCAGAAGGGCTTGGAAAACTATTAAGCTGTAACCTACTTATTTATTTTGTTAACCTCTTTCTGGACTCAGGCTCTAATTATAAAGCCTAAGCAAACAGATAGAAGGTCCCTCTCATTGTAGAGCTTACAGGCTGGTGGAAAAAATTATTTGCAGAATAAACACATTCAGTAAGTATGTTAAGCAAAGTTACAGCATGCCAATCATTTATGACAGGGAGACCTAATTTTTATTTTTATTTTTGGTATGTGCCCCTAGCGGGAACCAAACCTGGGACTCTCTGGTCCGCAGGCCGACGCTCCAACCGCTGAGCCAAACCGGCCAGGGGGGGGAGACCTAATTTAGATTTGGGGGTTGTGTTTGGCAAAGCTCTCTGAGGAAGTAATATTTAGAGCAAGCCCTGAGTGATTGGAGTTTAGCATGCCTGTGGAGCTTGACTCTGGGCAAGGAAAGGCCCAGTACTAGGACAAGGCTTTGTGATTTGGATCAAAGGCTGCTATGAAGAGCTCCAGGGTAGAGTGCAAATGGGGGTAGTGGGTGGGGGTGGACAGGGAGGGATATGCGAGCTTCTCATGGTATCTGCCCTCATTTGGGTTTAACTGTCATTGGAAGTGATGCCTTTGCAAGGATAATTAGTTTGATGGAAAGGTCGTATAACTCCATAATTGGCTTAGCCCCCTGACCTTGAGGAGAGTTAAGAATTCGAACCTTCATCTCTGCTCTGAGAACTGACACCTATGTCCTCAGTCGAGGCTTCTGTCACCTTTGGTCCTGTATGTGGTGCTCTGGGGGCTTTCCTCTGCAGAGCAGCGTTTTTCCATCCTGGGTGGCAGAAACAAACATGAAGGTCCATAGGAAACCTAGAGAGCATAGACCACTCACCCCTGAAATTGGGAGCACACGTCCAAAAAGAGGGGATGGCTTGTTCAAGTTGACTCACTAATCAGAGGTGGTTAGAGCTAGAACCCAGGGTTCCTGTGTCTCAGGGACTCTTTGCACTTTCAAAGAGGCTGGCCCTTACTCCAGATGTCCTACAGCAGCAGTTCTCAACCTGTGGGTTGCGATCCCTTTGGGGGTCAAACAACCCTTTCACAGGGGTCGCCTAAGACCATCAGAAAACACATATTTTCAGTGGTCTTAGGAGCCGGGACACTGCTCCTCTATCCGTCTCCAGGCAGGTCCACCCACAGGCATATATGCCCACATACGAGTACCCGGCATGATGACATCATCATGCCAACCCCATCACATACACCTTGTACAGATACAGGTGTATGTGACAGGGTTGGCGCCATAATGTACTTAGGCGTACCAGTCACACATGTAGAGGGAAGCTGCTGTGTAGAAAGCAGCTACTCTGTTAAAAGCAGCTACTATGTTGAAAGCAACAGTATTGGAGGTAAAGCGACACTTCATGAATTATAATAACTGGGTAAATGTAAAATCATCAACTACTGCAAAAAAACAAAAACAAAAAACATCTGTACCACAGGAACTTAATCTGAATGCTGATCAGTCTTTTTATATTCAGCTGTGGTTGATGTGAATACTGCCCCCTTGTGATAGTAACAAGTGTGTTAAAAGAAACAACACAGAGAATGGTAAATTATAGGAAACTTTAATGAATGTATTGACTAAACTATGCCATGTATCATCTTTTGCTTTTTTTTTTTTTTATCCTTACCCAAGGACATTTTTCCATTTTTTGTTCAGATAGAGTGGGAGGGAGAGAGAGAGAGAAACATCGACGTAAAAGGGACACATCGAGTGGTTGCCACCCACATGTCCCAACCAGGGCCGGGGACAAACTGCAACCAAGGTGCATGCCCTTAGCGGGAACTGAACCCGGGTCTCTCTGGACCGCAGGCCGACGCTCTAACCGCTGAGCCAAACCAGCCAGGGCATCTTTTGTATTATTAAAGTTATTATATATTATTTTTATTAGCAAACCATCTCATGACAACGGATCATGTAGAGAAGAACATTAAGAAAATATAGTGAGGATTTTTTACAATATGGTTTTGCCTCCATAATTACAGCAGGAATTGAGAAACCGCAACGTGTTATTTGTTGTGAAGTTCTATCAGCCGAATCTTTGAAGCCAAACAAACTAAAACGCCATTTTGATAGCAAGCATCCGAGCTTTGCCAGCAAGGATACCAACTATTTTAGAAGCAAAGCAGATGGACTCAAGAAAGCCAGACTTGACACTGGTGGCAAGTACCACAAACAAAACGTAGCAGCTGTTGAAGCTTCATATTTGGTGGCACTCAGAATCGCCAGAGTTATGAAACCTCACACCATTGCTGAGGATTTACTGTTTCCAATGGTCAGACATTGTTCGAGTTATAATCGGAGACGAATTTGTTACAAAATTGAGTGCAATTTCCTTATCTAACAACACTGTCCGCAGAAGAATAGATGACACGTCTGCTGATACTCTTTTTTTTTTCTAAATCCTCACCCGAGGATATTTTTACATTTATCTTCAGAAAGAGCAAGAGGGAGAGAGGGAGGGAGAGAGAAACATCAACATAAGAGAGACACATTGGCCCTGGCCGGTTTGGCTCAGCGGTTGGAGCGTTGGCCTGCGGTACAGAGAGACCCGGGTTCAGTTCCCACTAAGGGCACGTACCTCGGTTGCAGTTTGTCTCCGGCCCTGGTTGGTTGTGCGGGTGGCAGCCACTCGATGTGTCCCTTCACATCGATGTTTCTCTCTCTCTCTCTCTTCCTCTCTCTCCCTCCCGCTCTATCTGAACAAAAAATGGAAAAAATGTCCTCGGGTGAGGATAAAAAAAAAGAGAGACACATCGAATGGTCACCATCCCCACTACCCCAACTGGGGCCAGGGACAAACTGCAACCAAGGTACGTGCCGTTAGAGGGAACCAAACCTGGGACTCTCTGGTCCGTGAGCCGACTCTCTAATCACTGAGCCATACTGGCCCGGGCATCTGCTGGTATTCTTGATCAGGTAACCTAGGAAATTAAATCTGCTCCACTTCCAATATTTAGCATCCAGTTTGATGAATCTACAGACGTTTCAAACTGTTCACAGTTACTGGTTTACCCGAGGTATATTAATGATGGCGACTTTAAAGATGAGTTTCTTTTTTGCAAACTTCTTGAAATGACAATTACTGCATGTGATGTATTTGACACGGTTCATTTCTGAAAGAGCTTAAGATCTCTTGGGAAAAGGTTTGTGGTGTTTGCACAGATGGTGCTCCAGCTATGCTAGGATGTCGATCTGGATTTCAATGTTTGGTACTGAATGAGTCACCAAAAGTCGTCGGAACTCTCTGTATGATTCATCAGCAAATATTAGCAACGAAGACACTGCCACAGAGTTACAAGAAGTAATTAAAAGCGTCATAAGTTCTGTCAGTTTTGTAAAGGTGAACACTTTAAACAGTCAACTGTTTTTGCAACTGCAACGAGTTGGATGCGCTGAACGATGCTCTGCTATTTTCGCACAAGTGAGATGGTTGTCAACAGGAAAAGTTTTAAAACGTGTTTTTGAGCTTCGTAATGAACTCAAAATGGTTTTTTGTTTTTTTTTATCCTCACCTGGGGACATTTTTCCATTTTTGTTCAGATAGTGGGAGGGAGGGAGAGGAAGAGAGGGAGAGAGAGAAACATCGATGTGAAAGGGACACATCGAGTGGCTGCCTCCTGCACAACCCCAGCTGGGGCCAGGGACAAATTGCAACCGAGGTACGTGCCCTTAGTGGGAACCGAACCTGGGTCTCTCTGGACTGTGGGCCGACGCTCTAACCGCTGAGCCAAACGGGCCAGGGCTCAAAACGTTTTTTAATCAGAAAGCAAGACCGCAGATTGAAGTACTTTTCAGCAATAAAAGTGAACTGCAGAAAACAGCTTGCTTGGTTGACATCTTTGCCATCTTGAATGAGTTAAATTTATCACTGCAAGGACCAAATGCAGCATGCCTTGATTTTTCTGAAAAGATCTGATCATTCCAAATGAAACTTCAGCTTTGGCAAGAAAAATTGGATGAAAATAAAATTTACATGTTGCCTACCTTATCTGCTTTCTTTGAAGAACGTGACGTTGAACCAGACAAAAGGATTATGACGATAATTTCTGTGAAAGAACACTTGCACATACTTGCAGACGAAATTTCATCGTACTTTCCAAATCTACCTGACACCTCATTTGCACTTGTCAGAAGCTCATTCACAGTCAAATTTGAAGATGTTCCTGAGACAGCACAAGAGGAGTTCATTAAACTTATTAACAGCGATGCAGCGAGAACTGATTCCTGTACAATGCCAGTTACAAAATTCTGGATCAAGTGTTTGCAGTCATATCCTGTTCTGTCTGAGACTGTTACGCCGCCTTCTTCCATTTCCAACAACATATTTTTGTGAAACGGTTTTCCAAGTTGTTGGTTATACAGAAGTAGACTTATTGTGGAAGATGATCTTTGTTGTGCTCTTGCAAAGACTGCCCTGGGAATTTCTGATCTGGTGAGAAAGAAGCAGTCTCAGCCTTCTCACTGACATTGGCTTTTTACGCATACTGTCGCAAAATGTAGCAATGTAGTTTACTGTTGTTATATTAAGACTGTTACCCATGCTACACCATGCTTCAAGACAAAATTTCATTTATTTGTAATTAGAAATAAATATTTCACAATATATAATTACATATTCTTTTTGTGATTAATCACTATGCTTTAATTTTGTTCAATTTGTAACAATGAAAATACATCCTGCATATCAGATATTTACATTACAATTCATAACAGTAGCAAAATTACAGTTATGGTGGAGTAACAAACTAATTTTATGGTTGGGGGTCACCACAACATTAACTGTATTAAAGGGCTGCGGCATTAGGAAGGTTGAGAACCACTGTCCTACGGGAACATATACATTTAATGCAAACATTTGTACATTGGGCTTTAAGTCTGTAAGCTGGCTCTTTTTTCTCTTTCTCTTGTTTCTTCTTGAAATGCTTGTTTCTGTATATTTGCCACCTTTTGTATTGGGTATTTTCTGTGATTTGTGGCTTATTCCCTATGACTGTATGTATAACTAGTTGAAATTATACCAGTACCTTAGAACAGTACTACTACTATTACCCCCTCCCAGCCTTTGTGTTGTCATTACACATTTTACTTCTATTTAGTAAACCACACAGTGTATCAAAGGCTTGTTTTTGTGGGATTTTTTTTTTTTTTTAAATCCTCACCCGAGGACATTTTTCCATTTTTTGTTCAGACAGAGTGGGCGGGAGAGAGAGAGAGAAACATCGACATGAAAGGGACACATGGAGTGGCTGCCACCCGCACAACCAACCAGGGCTGGGAACAAACTGCAACCGAGGTACGCGCCCTTAGCGCGAACCGAACCCGGGTATCTCTGGACCGCAGGCCGACGCTCTAACCACTGAGCAAAACCGGCCAGGGCTTTGTGGGATTTTTTTTTTTTTTTTTTTATCCTCACCGAGGATATTTTTCCACTTTTTGTACAGATAGAGTGGGAGGGAGAGAGAGGAAGGGAGAGAGAGAGAAACATCGACGTGAAGGGACACATCGAGTGGCTGCCACCCGCACGACCAACCAGGGCTGGGGACAAACTGCAACCGAAGTACGTGCCCTTAGCGGGAACCGAACCCGGGTCTCTCCGGACCGCAGGCTGACGCTCTAACCGCTGAGCCAAACTGGCCAGGGCGTTTGTGGGATTTTTTAAAAATATTTTTAATTGGTTTTTTAGAGAGAGAGGAAGGGGGAGAGAGAAACATCCATGTGAGAGAGACACATGGATCAGCTGTCTCCTGCATGTCCCCTACTGGGGACCAAGCCCACAACCCGGGCCTGTACCCTGAGAATGAATCAAACCAGGACCTCTCAGTCCATGGGATGACACTCAGTCACTAAGCCACACCAGTGGGACTGTGGGTTTGTTTGTTTGTTTGTTTGTTTGTTTTTTAAACAATTACCTTTGAAAAGAATTGTAAATAAGAAGAAGTGTGGGTTTTTAATTTCTCACAATGTTCACAATTTTTCTTTATTTTTGTTTTTATCTAAGTTTTCACTGGTTATTCTCCTCCCTCCTTGAACATTTCTTATAGGGCAGGATTGCAGATGAGGAATTTGTCTGCAAGTTGTTTTTTTTTTTATTTTTTTAATAAGTTTTATTGACACTTTTAGAGAGGAGGGGAGAGGGAGAGCTAAACATCAATTGAGAGAAAAACATTGGCTGCCTCCTGCATACTCCCTGCCAGGGATCAAGCTGGCAACCTAGGGATCAAGCTCTCTCCCTCCCACTCTGTCTGAACAAAAAATGGCATGTGCCCTGACCAGGAATCGAACTGGAGACCTCTTAGTGCATGGAGCAGCTCTCAACCAACTGAGCCACACCAACCAGCGCTGCAAGTTGTTCTTTTGCCTTTATTTTGTAAGCTGTTTTCACTGGGTGTGGAATTCCAGATTGATTTGTTTTCTTCCAGACGGCACAGCTATTGCACTGCCTTCTGGCCTACGTTGTTTCTGACCAGTTGGCTGTTCTTCCCATCTTTGTTCTTAGCACCCATGTGGCTTTTCTTCCTCTGGTTGCCTTTATCACTGGTTTGGAGCACTTTGCTGATGATGTGTTGATTTCGTTAGCTGTTTTTTTCCTGTGCTCCTTGCCTTTGGGGATTCCACAAGTTGCACTGCAAGTCAGTATTGCTCTGATTTCTTTTGTATTGTGAGTCTTTTTTCTCCGTTTCATTTTGAATAGCTTCTCTTATGTCTTCAGGTTCCCTAATCTTTTCTTCCACGGTGTCTGTTGTCAATCCCATCTAATATATTTTTCATCTCAGAAGTTTGGTTTGAGTATTTTTAAATATTGTCCATGTGTTTACCGGACATGTTCAGTTGTTTGTTCGCCTTCTTGAATACTTAGGGTATAGCTAAAACAACTTAGTGTCCTTGTACACTAATTCTGTCACTGTCATTTCTGAGTCTGAACTATTGGTTGGTTGGTTTTCTTCATTAAGAGTTGGACTTTCTTGCTTCTTGGCTAACCCAGTCATTTTTTATTGGTAGCCTGGCATCGTGACTTTTACCTTGATAGCTAGTTGTTTTGTGTCCCTGCAAATGTCCTTGGGCTTTTACTGGGATATAGTTCAGTCCTTTGTTTCTTCTGAGGCTTGCTGTTTAGCTTCATTTAATCAGGTCAAAGCTCAGGGCTAGCTTCATCCACTCCTGGGGCAGCACCCTTCTGAGCACTCGGCCTGGTGCCCATGAATTACAGGCTTTCCCACCCAGCCACTGGATTCATTCTAGGGAAAGTGGGCGTGTGTGTGTGTGTATTTTTAGAGAGAGAGGGAAACAGAGAAACATCTGCCTCCTGCATGCCCCCTACAGGGATCGAGCCCACAACCCAGGTGTGTGTCCTGACTGAGATTCGAACCAGCAACTTTATGGTGTACGTACAGGACAATGCCCAACCAACTAATCAACACCGGCTAGGGTAGAAGGGCCTTTTACAGCACTGAATGAGCCCCTGGGATTGTTCCCTCTGCTGCAGGTGGTCTTCTCTCTAGCTTTGATGATTTTCTCACATATGTGTGCTACTCAGAGGGACCCTGTGCAGCTCTCTGCAGCCGTTTTTGTGTGGCTCTCCCTGTGATAGCATGATTGCTCACTGCTTTGATGTCCTCAGACTCTGACATCTGCTCACTTCAGGGATACCACCCCTCCTCAGTTCCTCCTCCCTGCCATGGCCTAGAACCTCTGGGCAGTAAGACTGGGCAAGCATAGGGTTGCCTCATGTGTTTCCAGTTTTGCAGGTGTCACCATCCTGTGTAGCCTGACATCTGGTGTCTGAAAACCCTTGTTGCCTACATTTCCTCGCTTTTTTTAGTTTCAGGCAGCAGGAGGGTTAATGCTTGGTTCTCCATGCTGGCTGGAAGTTTGCTCTGCATCTGCGTCAGAGGTCTTCTTAGCCTTGGTCCACATAGATTGGGGTGTATTTCTAAGTAGATATCCCCTCAGCTATCTGTGGATACAGAATAATTGGAGAAAATGATCCCAATGGGTGCCTGCTTCGGCAGCACATATACCAAAATTGGAACGATACAGAGAAGATTAGCATGGCCCCTGCACAAGGATGACACACAAATTTGTGAAGCGTTCCATATTAAAAAAGAAAGAAAATGATCCCAATGGGAAGAGCTTGTTTAATTAACAAGTTGTAGTTAGTGAAGTTTAACTGCCTTTAGCTTTTCCAGTTTGTTTTTTGTCCCTATGTGAGCTAATCTTGTGTTAAAAGCAATTGTATTTTGATAGGTCAGGATTAGCTAGAACCACTTTAATAACTATGAAGAATGGACAATTCCTGGAGAAGTACTAGTAGAAATGACTTTTTTCAGATTGCTTTTGTTTTATTTATTTAGCTGTGGTCATGGAGGCTATCTCAATTTTCCATAAAATCATTTTGACCGTGCTGTAAAGTCACAGCATAAAAGATTCCAAGTGCCACTAGACATAAGGACATTGTTGTTATAATCATTATTTTGGGTAATATTTGAATGGGAGCATTTTATATGGATAGTCAGGTGAAAAGGTACCAAAACGTCTAGTGAAAATTATTTTTGATAATCAGTTAACTGCAAGTAATTTTTGACATTGTGTGGTTATTTGTATGAGAAAATAAGAGTGCCCTTTCTCGTGAAGGTTGTCGGGGCCAAAGTAGTGACCAACGCACGCAGTCCTGGGGCTCGGTGCTATGGTTTTGTCACCATGTCGACATCCGATGAGGCTACGAAGTGTATCAGCCATCTTCACAGAACTGAGCTTCATGGAAGAATGATCTCCGTAGAGAAGGTGAGGCAGTCCTTGCCTGTTCTAACTCATGAGCTTTACATGGGGGAAGACCTGGTTCGTGAGCTACTTCTGTCTGCATTATATTTTAGGCCAAAAACGAACCTGCTGGGAAAAAGCTGTCTGACAAAAAGGAGTGTGAAGTGAAGAAGGAAAAAGTATCTAGTGTTGACAGACATCATTCTGTGGAGATCAAAATTGAAAAGTAAAGTATTTTTTTTTAAGGCTTCTCTTGGGATTGCTGGGAGGAGGGCAGGTGACTGCCACAGGGTCACTCATGAAAAAGCATGTGTCCTTTGCATAGACAGACTCACCAGCTTCTCATTTACATCAAAGGTGATTTTTGTGTCTTGCTGCCTCTTCAGTATTCAGCTTTCAACAGATACTATTAAAATAGTATATATAAAATATAAAAAACTATAAAAAAACTTATAACTATAAAAAATGGATTCAGATGATCCTTAATGAGTACTTACATCCAAACAACCTAGTAGCCTGCTGAAAAAAATAACACACACAAAATGAACAAATAACTCCGTTTTTATTTTGAATATCCTGGGCCCTTGCACAGCCTCTCAAACCTTGGAATCATTTTGTGGCCCAGGTTGATTATCATGTGAGTCTTGCTTTTTATCCCAGCAACTGCAAAAACCTAGCTTTGCAAAGATACAGCAATAGCCAAAGGAATGTAAGCTGATTGAATATTGAAATGAACAACCTTAAGCTAGTAGTTTGTACAGCATCTGACAGTTGTCAAGTATTGCTCTGTTGAAATATCCCAGAGTACCTGTGAGTTCACTGTGGTACCTTGGCAAGTAATTTGGGGACCACAGTTCTGAGATACTATTTTTATAAAGTAGGTGGTTTGTAGCTTTAATCAAGATTGAAATATGGACAGATCTTTCAGAGCAGGCATCATTTATTTATTATACTTTTATCAAAACCATAGGCTTATCTCTTGGGGTGGGTAGGCTTTGGTGATATACTTGATAACAGTTTTTTTCTCAGAACACTGTGTCTGTGTCAAGTTTATTTTGTCAACATAGTTTATTTCCACTTTAGGTCCACTCACACTATAAAAATTGAACCCTTTGCTGACAATCTGTTAGTCTTTCAGTAATTCCATTTTATTATTTTTTATGTAAGAAAATTTATAGTTTTGAGTAAACATGGCTGTGGACTTCAGTACTTATAAGTTGGATTTGGTTTTTTTTTTTAATTGCTAGTCTTTATTATGGCCAGGTTGGAAATTATAGGCCTGTGAGAAATGGCTGTCAGTGAGAACCACAATTTTATCAGCAACTTCTAAAAAGAGAGACACATATATTAGCAGTGCTAAAAGTATCTGTATTAGAATATGGGGCACTGTTGAGTGTTCGTGGTTTTCTTAGTGTCTTGCAATGCTTTTCATTGATTTTTTTTTTTTTTTTTTAATTCAGAAAAGTGAGGTGTGTTTATGGAAAAAAGGAAAGGGATAATAATCAGGTAATATGTCAGGGGGTCCTTTAGTCCCTGGAAGAGTCCTAGGAGGTCTGTACTCTGTGTAGAAAGAAGAGGAAACTGGCTCAGAAGGAGGAAGTGCCGACCCAAGGTCACACAGCTCAGCTAGCAAGTAGCAAAGCCAAGATTTAATCCTGGGCTGTTGCTCAGTGCTGGGGCACTTAACTGGGTGATGAACTTAAGATGTTTAAAACCAAACTGCCTTTAGGTGGTTTGCCTAGGAAGTTGAACGTTTTAAAATTTGTTTTTAACCTTATTTCTTTTCTTCAAATAAGCATCGTTATTATCCTTTCATTTTAAGAATTTCTAGGCTTAGTCATCAGCCTGAGTGAAATAGAGAAGCTTGTCCACAGAGACGGCTTGTCTTGGCTTTTGTGGATGAGTAGTGATTTTTCTTAATTTTTTTTTTTTAAATCCTCACCCAAGGATATTTTTTCTATTTATCTCAGATAGAGTGAGGGAAGGAGGGAGGGGGGTGGGGGAGAGAGAGAGAAACATCAGTGTGAAAGAGACACATTGACTGGGTGCCTCCTGCACAACCCCAACCAGGGCCAGGGACCACAACTGAGGTACAGGACCTTGACTGGAATTGAACCTGAGACTCATTGGTCTGTGGGCTGACACGCTAACCGCTGAGCCAAACCAGCTAGGGCAAATAGTGATTTTTCTGTAATTGCCATTTGGAAAGCACGCACTGAAGTCAGGCATAATCCCACTACCTGGTGGGAACACTTTTTGGTGTATATCCCTCCAGCTTTTTTTCCTACATGGGTTTTTTGTGTGGGTTTTATTTAGAAATTATATTTTAGTGTTATTAACAAGTTCTTTGGTTTTTTGTTTGTTTGTTAACCCTCACCCGAGAGCATTTTTCAGTTGATTTCTAGATAGAGTGGAAGGGAGGGAGAGAGAAATATATATGTGAGAAAGGCACATCAATTGATTGTCTCCCGCAGGACCCCGACTGGGGCTGGGGATCAAACCTGCAACCTAGGTACATGCCCTTGACCAGGAGTCAAACCTGAGACCCTTTGGTCCGCAGGCTAATGCCCTAACCACTGAGCCAAACTGGTCAGGGCCGTAATTTTTTTGTGTCTAGGAGGTGTCGTGTGAGTACAGAATAAGTAGAGAGGGGTCTTCTATTGCAACATTTTTCAGGTCTCCTTGGAGGGAGGAGGCATCACTGCATAATAGTGGAAGAGGCACATTAGAGATGATTCATGGTGGCTTTATTTGCAGTTACATAGTCATTGGAAGCAACCTCTAGTCTATCAGAAGGGAAATGGTAAACAACTGTGAACTGTTGTGTAGCAGTTGAAAGGAACCAGATCTGTCTATATATCCACACAGACTAACCTTTAAAGCAGTGATTTTTCAACCAGTATGCCGTAAGAATTTTTAAAATGTAACACCTAACTATTTAGTCAGGGGCACTGTCCTCTTTTCCTTTAGGTTGTCAGATTAAAAAATGACAAGAGCCAACACAACAATAGCTGTCTGGTGTGAATGAATCAAAATCAGACCTTTTTTTTTGTCAGATCGGCAAAAAATATATTTTTGGTATGCTGCAGAATTTTAGTAATTAATTTGTGTGTGCCATGAGATGAAAAAGGCTGAAAATTTGCTGCTTTAAAGCATGAAGTGAAAAGCGCTAGAGAGTGACATACCAAGGGCCATCCCATTATTATATCACTATCTAAAAATGTCATAAAACATCTGAAGATCTTCAGTCATATGAAAGTGCCTATAAAGGTTTGAGAGGTGGGGCCAAATGATTGACAGTTATGGCACCAAGGGTGGAGGTTGTCTTGGGGATAGGACAAGTGTATCTGTGACATTCGCTGCATGAGTGTTTTTTTTGTGTGTTTTTTTAAGGAAAACCAGTATGTTAAAAACATTAACAATTGTCGCCCTGGCCGGTTTGGCTCAGTGGTTAGAGCGTCGGCCTGCGGTCTGGAGAGACCCGGGTTCGGTTCCCGCTAAGGGCACGTACCTTGGTTGCAGTTTGTCCCCAGCCCTGGTTGGGTCGTGTGGGTGGCAACCACTCGATGTGTCGCTTTCACGTCGATGTTTCTCTCTCTCTCTCTCTCTCTCCCTCTCCCTCTATCTGAACAAAATATCGAAAAATGTCCTCGGGTGAGGATAAAAAAAAAAAACAAAAAAAAAAAAACATTAACAATTGTCAATTTTGGTACACACCATCAATGATTATGGTATGTACTTGCATTATTTAAATTTTAAAATTAAAATTTTTGTCTTAAAATGACTATTAAAGATGACAGCTCTATGCTATGGGAATTTATGAGGGAGGAAGGATGAGCTGGGAGAAGTTTCTTCCACCAGTGTGAGCTCTGCTCAGGTCATAGGGAAGAGAGGACAAGAAATGCTACTGAGAGAACCCAGTGGGATCTGGTTTTCCTGTCCTGGACCTTGGTGCATGGTGGACATTTAATGGCTAGAATTAAATTGCCTGAGACAAACTGCATTAGGAAATATAGAAGACAAATTTAAATGGCAACAATGATTTATTTCACTGCTTAGAATAAAACTGCCTTTGGTTGAAATGTTACAGTTTCCATATTTGTTGTCATATAACACATCATTAACTCCTCCAAGTATTCAGAAATGACCAGGTGTTGGTGGGTAGGTGGCTCACTGCTTCGTGCTACAGGAACTTCCAGTCCTTGTACTGTACCTCCATTCTATGTTATACTGTATCTATTTGGGGGAAATATTTTTCCCACAAAACTTAATATTCCACACATACAAAATTTTTCAAAATGAGACATTTAAAATTAGTTTTTCACAAGCATTTTTTCATCCTGTCTACTTGCATGCTTGTCATATGTAAGGGTGCATCTAGCATTTTGGGAAAACATCCACATGAGCCTGCAGTTTTATCTTGCATATGTTGAGATGTGGCAGATAAGTGGGAATAGGGGCTGTATCTAAACATGGGATTATTACTGCAGTTTTCAAATAATTCTTCCCACCTACTTGCCACCGGGATGGTTTGTTTTGTGCAGCAGTTTGAACAAGCAAACAGCTCCTATTAGAGTCTCAGGAACTCAAGTTTGATAACCATGTTTTTACATAGAACTGTAATTAAGAAGGAAGAGAAGATTGAGAAAAAGGAGGGGAAAAAGCCTGAAGACATTAAAAAGGAAGAAAAAGAAGAAGATGAGCTGAAACCAGGAACCACAAATCGGTCCAGAGTCACCAAATCAGGTGATTAGAGTCTGAGTGTTCATGAAGTGGAAAGAGCCAGTCAAAATGAGCTGGTGGGTGTCATAGATCAAGCAAGTACAGGAGCTTTTTGGTGACTTTGCTGAGTTTTGCTGCTTATAGGAAGCCATTAAAGCAACAGAGCCTCAGGTGATGAGGTGGCTTAAAGGAGTTTCTACATGACAGCAGAAATCCAGGGATATTCTGGTCAGTGATTTAAGTTTACTGGCAGCTCAATGACCTGGGTTCTTGTTTTTCCTGAATCTTTAACAGAAAAGAGTGTGGGATTTGCCAGAGGGGGATATCCTAGTTCTTATAATTCAGTACAATTCTGCAGATGTGTAATCCCATTTTTTGTGCATGTATGTTAAAGCCAGAATGACTGAAAACCTCATGATGTCTATAGCCTGGGGAGCAGGAGCAGTTGCACTTGAAGTGTGCCACCTCTGTTGTCGTTTTTAAAAAATTTCTTGTGCTTTGCACCTTCAAATTTCCATGAGGCTCCACGGAATGTTTTGTTGCAAAAAAAAAGCCCATTCCTCCCTGGCAGGTGTGCTCAGTGATTAGAGCATCGGCCCTTGGATCAAAGGGTCTCAGGTTTCATTACTGGTCAAGGGCACCTACCTGGGTTGCAGGTTTGATCTCCGGCCCTGGTTGGGGTGCGTACATGAGGTAACCTATCGATGTGTATCTCACATTGATGTTTCTCTTTCTCTCTCTCTCTCTCTCTCTCTCTCTCTCTCTCTCACTCTTTCTCCTCCCCTCTTTTCCTCCCTCCCACTCTCTCTAAAAATCAGTGGAAAAAATATCCTTAGGTGAGGATTGAGGGGGGAAGAGCCCATTTCCTCCCCCTTTCAAAAAAGAAAAACAGAAACAAAATCTGACCATCTGGAGCATTGGGATTTGATGCAGCGAATTACAAGTTAGATCTTAATCATTGGGTTAATTTGCCAGCAGCCTCATGAGGAACATGTTTTTAAAATGTTCCTCAAGTATTGCACATTTTCTTAAATCAGTGGTTGTTCCAACAGTTAAAGCCTGCTTAGTGTGTCGTGAGAGGAAGAATTGGTCTGGAGCCTTTATTACTGAAGACAGATGAAGGGAAGCCCACTTGTGGGGGTGGTGAGGGTCTCCTGCAGAGCCAGCAGTACCTGATTCAGAGCACAAGAGCCTGGGTTCTGTAGAGCATTCCAGAATGTGTGGGAGGAAGAAAAATCGAAATTGGTTATCCTGGAGCCACTAGGATTCAGTGAGGGGTAAAGGAAACTTGTAGGTGGGATGTGTTTGTGCATACATTGCAGAATGCATTTGGATGCAAATTTAAATTGTAACATGGGAGCAAGTCAAAGCTACTCCATTCTAGATGAGCAAAGACCTGTTTGGGACTGCCAGCTGTTTTCTGCCCAGTGTGGCCATGTTGGTAGTGCTGCTTTTATATCATAATGAAGACAAGAATGAGACACAGAGGCTCCAGCGTTAGCATCAGTCACTTGACAGAGCAGCAAGAGCCCCAAGCTGGCTTGTGTGCGTCAGCATGTTTTCACAGATTGCTGTGTTTCTTCCTGAAGGAAGCAGAGGAATGGAACGGACGGTCGTAATGGATAAATCAAAAGGAGAACCTGTAATTAGTGTGAAAACCACAAGCAGGTCCAAAGAAAGAGTGAGTATTGCTTCTGCCACCTCAAGTCCAGCAGTTTTTGACTACTTTGACTTGCATTATGAAAACATTGTTTGGGCCCTGGCTGGTTTGGCTCAGCGGTTAGAGCCTCGGCCTGAGGTCCTGAGAGACCCGGGTTCGGTTCCCGCTAAGGGCGCGTACCTCGGTTGCAGTTTGTCCCTGGCCCTGGTCGGTTGTGCGGGTGGCAGCCACTCGATGTGTTCCTTTCACATCGATGTTTCTCTCTCTCTCTCTGTTCCTCTCTCTCCCTCCCACTCTACCTGAACAAAAAAAGGAAAAATGTCCTCGGGTGAGGATAAAAAAAACAACAACATTGTTTGGCCTTTAAAATGTTAAGAGTTCTTTGAAGTCCTCAGGTAGCACATTGTTCGCTCTTTAGATTACATGTGCAGACATGAAATTAGGTTTTAGACCTTATTTTAGAATAAAGCTTACCCATGTTTGCTTTCTAGAAATGTGTTTGCCTTTCTCTGATTCTTTGTCAGGTTATACCATTTTCTCGAGAACTGATTCCCCAGTGACAGCTCACCATGGAGTAAGAGCAAAACCCAGGCTAAGTCAGAGGGAGCTTCTACTCTTTGGTTAATCAAATAGCCGTTTATTCATTTTCCTTAGTTGATTTTTTTTTTTTATCCTCACCCGAAGACATTTTTGCATTTATCTTCAGATAGAGCGGGAGGGAGAGAGGGAAGAAGAGAGAGAGAGAAACATTGATGTGAGAGAGAGAGACATTGCCTGGCTGTCACCCACTTGACCCCATCCTGGGCCGGAGAAAAACTGCAACTGAGGTACGTGCCTTTAGCGGGAACTGAACCCGGATCTCTCTGATCCACGGACCAATGCTCTAACCGCTGAGCAAAACTGGCCAGAACTTTAGTTGATTTTTTTTTAGTCTTCTGTTAAATTAACCAAAAAGAAAAGTGGACTCTACCCTAAAACTGTCATGTCGTCAGAAAACAAGCTACATTGCTTATTAATTTTATACACACAGCCGGACAAGCTAGGGACTTCTCAGTTTGCTCTTTCCACTCTCCTTCCCAGATGAAGGTTCCAGCTAACACATTAGTGAGGAGAGCAGCATTTTTCTGATGAATACACGTTTTTATGATCCATCCAAGAACACTTTGTGTTGTTGAGACTTAAGTTTTAAATAAACATTTGGATTCTATAGAGAGCAGTTTGTAATGCCATTTTTTCTATGGGCTACATGAAAATCATAAAATACAGAGAAATCTAGAGAAGAAAACAAAAAAGGCCCACAAACTTACCACCCAGATAACTGATGTTAAAAAAAAAAAAAAGTAGTGATGTAAGCATGATTAAAGCTTTCAGATAGTACAGAAAGGCACAACACAAGCAAAATGTGTCTTTGCTTCTCCATGGGCTCTTTACACTCTAATAGTATTACACACACACCACACGTGTGTGCTCTGAAACACCAACAGCGGTGTTGTACGTAATATGTCTTGGAGACATGTGAAACAATTCTACTTTCTCATTTAAATTTAATTTTGAAATTATAGATTCACAGGAAGTTGTAAAGAATAAGGACAGAGGTCCCATCTGTCCGTCACCCAGTTTCGCCCAGTGGTTTTATTTGCTGTAACTAGCACAGTATCAAAGCCAGGAAGGTGATGGCATTGGTGTACAATGTGTGTGCAGTGCTAGGACATTTAATCACCAGTGAAGATGGATATGTCCCCTGTTGAAAACTGCTGTGGTGCAGCCTTCTTGTGCTTGCCTCTTGGCAGACTTGTAATCACCAATCAGTGGGGTTGCTAGATCCAAAGGTGCGTGTGTGTTATTCTTTGTGGTAGATGTTATCAGGTGCCCTTCAGAAAATTACAGAGGATGCTGACATTCATGGGCTGCCAGTAAGTGGCGAGGCCTTTTTGTGAATGCAAGAGTCCAGTTCACGGATGGCAGTGCTGTGCTGGCCTCTGCACTAGATCGCAGCCTCCCCCGGAACTTAGGGTAGCTAGCTTTCCCTCACTCCAACCTGCAGTGTGTGGAGCACACTTTAAACTTTGCCCATCTTACAGGTGAAGAGTGTCCTGTAATGTTTTGGGTTGTGCATCTGTCCTCTATCTGTATGTCCCTCTCTAATCCCCAACTTTTTTTTAGTAGAATATCTGATCCTAATCTTTGTCCATACTTCTTTCAGGTTGCTTTGTCTTTCATTGATTCCCTCCTCCCTCCCTGTGTGGGCTAATTAAGAAATTAAACTGACCAGCTTTTTTTTTTTTTAAGATTTTTTAAATTGATTTTTAGAGAGTGAAGTGGGAGGAGGAAACATCACTGTGAGAATGAAACATTGATCAGCTGCCTCTTGCAAACCACCCACTGGGGATTGAGTGCAACCTGGGCATGTGCCCTGACTGGAAATGGAACTGGACACCATGTACGGGATAATGTCCAACCAACTGAGCCATACCAGCTAGGGCAGAACATCTTTTTGAAAATGTAGTTTCCCATGGGTCTGCAGGAGGCCCTGGGTTCTGGGCTGTGAGAAAGCTTCTTAGGAGAGTCTGATTTGTGGCCAGTTTGGGTGTCACAGCCTCAGATGGGAGTTGGCCATCAGTGTTTCCTACCTTATGCCAAAAATAGAATAGCATGCTAGTCGCTTATTAAGCTCTTCTACCTTGTTGGGAGTGTGCATTATAGTACAGTGCCTTGGCTTGTTCTATTTCAAGGCTGCCTGCCTGAACCCTGAGCTACTCTTGAGAAGTGAAAGGTGCAGTCCCTCATTCAACTGTCCAAACAGCTGGCTTCATAGCTGCCCCCCAGTGAATGAAGGGGGTCTTATGTCCCCAGGTATACATGCCCTATCGCTCTGCTACACTAGAAAAACTACCTGGAGGTTTCCTGAGATTTCATCATATCTTTTCTCTTCCCTTTGTTTACAATGTTTAAAAGCTAGACTATAGGGTGAACAGTGTGGCTCTGATGTAGAGTGAAGTGGCTTGTGCTGGGTCCTCCATGTAACCCACTTGTGACAAAAGAATCTTAGTTGAACCCATTCCCCATTTGCCCTGAGAATACTCGCAGATTAGAGTTCTAAACTTACCCCCAAAGTTTGCCACAAAATATCTCGCTCTTATTATTATTTTCACATCACTCTAGTATATTGATAGTCTTTGGAAACAAAAGACATCATTCTATTTATAGCATTCTATTTTTAATAGTGGTATTTTTATTTACAAAATACACTAATCCCGCTTTGTGTTGTTCCATGCTTTGAAATTTACCACACGAAAAAAAATATTAAATACTGGTCATCATACACATTTCTGTTACATTAGGATTAGAGACAAGTTCTGTTTAGAAATAACTCCCCAAGGACAGTTTTTATATTTTATTTTCACATTGAAAAACCAGTCAGATTTGCTTCAGCCACAGAGAGTGTGTTTATGTAAAATTAAATGAACGCTGGCAGCGAGCTGCACTTTTTTTCCCCAAATGATAAAAAGGTTAATCCATATATGCATATTTAACTTTCATTGTGTATTTGTTATAATCATTTTTCTGATAGTAATAAACTAATTTTGGTAAACAGAGCTCCAAGAGTCAAGATCGCAAATCTGAAAGCAAAGAGAAGAGAGACATTTTGTCATTTGACAAAATCAAAGAGCAAAGGGAGCGAGAGCGCCAGAGGCAGTGGGAGCGGGAAATCCGAGAGTCGGAGAGGCGGAGGTGAGTGGGGTTGAGCCAGGTTGCTGGTCTCCTCTGGGGATGGTTGTCCTTTCTCTGCAAGTGAATCTCCTATATAGCCTGGGCTCACCTGTATGTTTTTCCTGGGGCCAGAAGGCCTATTGTGGGTGGCCAGTGTTCCTCAAAAGCTCACTTTCTTTTTTGTTTTAATTGAATTTATTGGAGTGACATTGGTTAATAAAATTATACAGGTTTCAGGTGTAAAATTCTACAGCACATCATTTATATATTATATTGTGTATTTACCATCCCACTATCCAAAGCACATTTCTGCTGAGCGTTTTCTCTGGCTAAAGTGGGGCCCTGGCCCATGGAGCAAGCTCACCCAGGGGTGGCTTTAATGGAAGAGTCCTAAGGGTTGAGGTCTCATTCTTCCCTCTGGAAACCTTCTACATAAGTAAAATCAAAAGTGGCAACCAAGGTGTGTTGCAGCTTTATTGGAGATGTTATCATAGGAGTGGCCTCTTCACCCCTTTGGTGTCGGGGTTTTGTGGCCTTTACAGGCAGCAGTGGTCACACAGCAACATTCTTTGCCCGTCTCACCATTTGTTAAGGTAGTTTATTGAAGTAAACCTGTCATTTCCACTTTTGCATTTTGCCAGTTCACGTCAGGAAGTCTAGTCACCTTGTCATTTCCTTCCAGTATTGTTTCATGAAGCAAAAGCTTTACATCACAGTGTTTGGGGAACATTCTTGAGCTGAAGCAGATCATGTACAAACCTCTTAAGTTATGCTACATTTGTTTTTCTCTTAAGTCGTGTGATTTTAGCTCCTCCCTATGTCACTTTAGAAAATAAAAGGGCATTGAGAAGCTTTCTGATCCCATTTGGGGGTCTTCTGATTCTGACTGCCTCATGCTTGGTTTGGAGCCTTTCCAGACACCAGCAGCGTGTATGAGGAGCAACAGCACGTCCTCCTCTCAGACGCAGAGAGAGGTGGCGCCAGTCTCTGCTCAGCTCCTGGTGTGCTGTGGCTGAGGATCATGAGACCTTGGCATTAGCTACTGGTGCCAGGCCAGCATACAATCAGCCCGTTAGCCTTCTCCTGTCCCCACACCCTCCTAGGTCTGTTCAAAATGACACTCATTTAAAAAGACAACTCATTTTACAGCATTAACCTGCAATAGAGTATCCTTCACCCTCAGGGAAACTATTATGATCACTCCTTAAGGGTTTTCTCTGTATGTACATCAGTTACCCTTTGCGTTTCTTTTTTTTTTTTCCCCCCTTACTGGTGTGTAGCTTCATTTGGGGGCCTTTAAGCCAAGTCCTTCTGACGAGGACCTGAAGCTCTCTGTCTCTTTGTTGTTATCTGCTCCCTCCCAGGCCTCCTCTGGTTTTGCTCTTTTGAGAAAGGGAAGATTTGGACATTGGGGCTCCTGGCTAATCCAAGCAACTTAGTGGAAGTGGGTGAGCACCTGCCACCTTGTAACCTGGGGCCCAAGCCAGTGAGCATCCAAGAAACCCAGAATGGCTAGATAGAGGTATCCAGGTCCCTTAGGAGGTCAGTGCCTCAATGGCCAGGAACCTCCACAGCGGGAAGTCAAAGTGGTCTTGTGTCACCGTAGAGAGCGGGAGCAACGGGAGCGGGAGCAGCGCCTGGAGGCCTGGAAGGAGAAGGCACGGCTGCAGCGGGAGCGCCTGGAGCTTGAATGTCAACGTCACCTCCTAGAGCGCGAGCGCATGGAGCGAGAGCGGCTAGAACGCGAGCGCATGCGTGTGGAGCGGGAGCGCAGGAAGGAGCAGGAGCGCATTCATCGGGAGCGTGAGGAACTGCGGCGCCAGCAGGAGCAGCTGCGCTATGAGCAGGAGCGCCGGCAAGGACTCAGGAGGCCCCATGATGATGGGAGGTAAGGATTCAGCCCACTTGTGGCCTAAAGGTAGTGCCTCTCCTCCCATCCAGTAGCCGCTTCTGCTCTTGTCCATCTAAGCATTGAGAATTGGGGATTTTATTTTATTTTATTTTTTTATTTATTTTATTTTAAAATATTTTATTTTATTTTATTTTAAAATATTATTTTATTTTATTTTATTTTTTATTTATTTATTTATTTATTTTATTTGTTAATCCTCACCCAAGGGTATTTTTTCCATTGATTTTTTTTTTTTTTTAGAGAGTGGAAGGAAATGAGGCTGGGATGGGGAGAGAGAAAGAGAAACATCAATGTGAGAGACACATCAAAATTGGTTGCCTCCCACACCTGTAAACCCTTGGTTCGAGGGCCAATGCTCTAACCACGGAGCAACATTGGCCAGGGCGACTTGGGGCTTTTTAACATAGAATCTGGACAGCTACCCAGAACTCATTGCTGCCATTGCCTCAGTTGTGTTCTCTGGAGAATCTTGATAGTTCTACTGCTGAAGGGTTTGTGATGCTTTTACTTAGGTTGTACCATTATTTTCACTGTGATTCCTGGTGAAGCATAACCACCTTCCATGTGCCGTTGCAGGAGATGACCAAGCGTGCATTAGGCCCGCATTGGCCATGGTTGCTTCTCCATCTCTTGTCCTTGTAGGACAGGGGTGGGGAATGTCTGGCCCGAGGGCAATATAAGGCTCCTGAAATCATTTGTTCTGGCCCTGTCAAGGCAACTGCAGGCCGAACTTGAATTTAAATAAATCTAAGAGCTCTTTTCATAACAACAACAACAATTTATATTAAGTGAATCATAAGATAACATAAATTTTGAGGAACAAGCAAGGAACATCCATTATGGGATAGACAGGACACATGAGTACATAACGGGGCAGACATGTATGCTTATCGTGGGCTGCCTGCAGCCCATCTGCCTATATCGCAGTGACTCAGAGAGGACAGTCGGCACCAGGCAGGCTGGGAGCATTCACGTTGCGGAAGTGTTAACACACTGTGGAGAAACTATGGCGATCCAGTGATGATGAGACAAGATATGATGAGAAGTTTCTGCGCAACATTAACGACCTTGCCTCCGATGATTGGCAGCCATGTTGTTGACTTCTTTGTCGACACAGATGATAACTCCAATCCAACATTATCCACATACCCAATCAATCCTCACAAAAACTGAATCTCAGATGAAGATTAAGGAAATTACAGTACACAGAAAAGACCTCAAGAGTCAGTGATATGGCCCTGGCCAGTTTGGCTCAGCGGTTAGAGTGTCGGCCTATGGTCCAGAGAGACCTGGGTTTTGTTCCCGCTAAGGGCATGTACCTCGGTTTGTCCCCAGCCCTGGTTGGGTCGTGCAGGAGGCAGCCATTCGATGTCTCCCTTTCACATCGATGTTTCTTTCTCTCTCTCTCTCTCTCTCTCTCTCTCTCTCTTCCTCTCTCTCCCTCCCACTCTATCTGAACAAAAAAAATGGGAAAATGTCCTCGGGTGAGGATTAAAAAAAAAAAGAGTCAATGATATGAATGTTGGATGTGTTCCAAATCCAAAATGCGGGTTTAGAACAACGATCAGAGCAAGATAGTCATGTCACTGGCAACACACACACTGGATAGTTATCAAAACTTAAGTGGTGTGACATTGTACAAATGGCAACTACAAAGAAAAGAAAAGTTGGTGCAGTGTCCATCTTTTCAAGAGAAAGGGATAAATGATAATTTTTTTGTTGTTGCAGTCAAAGACAAACCTGTGTGGCTAGTTTGTGGCAGTGTGTTAGCCAATCTGAACATGGTAGATGCATTATAGCTCAGAACATGGTAAATGCAATGAATTGGGAGGCCAAATGGGCCTGGATAAAATCAGTGCTCTTCAGGGGAGTTTGAAATCGCAACAAACTGCTTTCACTAGGCCTCGTTGTGACAGACACAACATTATTCAGACAAGTTATGTGCTGAGTGAGCTAATCACAAAGAAGCTAAGGCTGCACCCTGGCCAGTTTGGTTCAGCGGTTAGAGTGTCGGCCCACAGACTAGAGAGTCTCCGGTTCAGTTTCCGCTAAGGGCATGTACCTCGGTTGCAGTTTGTCCCCGGCCCCAGTTGGGGTCGTGTGGGTGGCAACCTCTCGATGTGTCTCTTTCACATCAATGTTTTTCTCTCTCTTCCTCCCTCCCTCTCTCCTGCTCTATCTGAAGATAATGCAAAACTATCCTCTTGTAAGGTTAAAAAAAAAAGCTGAGTCCTTGTGTATGGGGAGAGTTGGTGAAAGAATGCACAGTGGCTGCTGCAGAGTTGTTAGCACCGAAGTAAAATTGTTTCATTGTGTTAGTTAGTCTCAGAGAACTGTCTCAAATTGGATTACTGACTTAGCATAAGATATTGGAAAATTCTGCAGGAGATTTCCAGTTTTTCTCTCTAGCTTTTGATGAGGCAGCAGACATAGATGATGCCAAATTGGCCATTTTTGTTCGTGGGATAACTGCAGAGTTTGACAGTCAAGAGGAACCACTGTCACTGGAAGCCATGCATGGTCACTGTAAGAGGTGAGGACTTGTTTGAGAAACTTGTTTTATCAATGAAAAAACATGAACTATTTTGAAAAGTTAAGTGGTCTTACTACAGATAGAGCTCCAGCCAAGGTTGCCTCACAGAAAGAGTTAATTGCATTTGTCAAGAAAGAACTGAATCATCTCAGTCTTGATCCAGATGATTTGATTATATGCCACTGCATCATACACCAAGAAAGTCTCTGTGCACAGTCGTTGCAGCTCAATAATATGATGTCAGCAGTAGTGTCATGCATAAACTTTGTCAAAAGCAGAGGATTTAACAGCCTCCATTTTAATGAGTTACTGAACGATCTTGACTCTGAGTACAGTGGTCTTTTTTATCACTGTGAAGTGTGGTGGCTGAATTGCGAGAACATGCTCATGAGGTTTTACGAACTGTGGAATGAAGTCAAGCATTTCCTGGAGATGAAGGGAAAACCTGTCAGGTAACTCAATGGTAGCAAGTGGTTGTGTGATTTAGCGTTTGTGGTGGACATTACCAAGTACCTCTCAGAGCTGAACATCAAGCTGCAGGGCCCGAACCAGCTTCTCAGGAGTAACATGGTGCCATTTCCCAACTCTGGAAGGACAAAAGGCCTTCTACAACATTTGAAAATGTTGGTGAATGTGCAAAACTAATTGAGGTATTTAATGAAAGATTCAAGGACATGAAAAGTAAACAAATGGAATTGAACATCTTTGCTACACCATTCCATGTGGAACCAGCTAATGTGCCTGATAACCTACAACATGAAATTATTCAGCTACAAAATGATGGTGAGCTGAGAGCTAGGTACAGCAACCTCTCACTGCTTGAATTCTGTAAGCGTTACATAAGCAACGATGAGTTTCCCACTTTGAGAAGACATGCATTGAAATAATGCTTCTGTGTTTGGAACAAGTTACTGCTGCAAGCCACTCTTTTTTTTTTTTTATTCTCACCCAAGGACATTTTTCCATTTTTTGTTCAGATAGAGCGGGAGGGAGAGAGAGGAAGAGAGAGAGAGAGAAACATCAATGTGAAGGGACACATCGAGTGGCTGCCACCCGCACGACCAACCAGGGCCGGGGACAAACTGCAACCGAGGTACGTGCCCTTAGCGGGAACCGAACCCGGGTCTTTCTGTACTGCAGGCCAACGCTCCAACCGCTGAGCCAAACCAGCCAGGGCGTAAGCCATTCTTTTTAAAACTTATCGCAAAGACTAGGCTGCACTCCAGACTGACTGATGCAAATCTGGAAAAGCAATTGCAAGTAGCAACGTCATTAATACCAGCTAACGTGACATGCTCACCAAAGAGAAACAGTTCCAGCCATCACATTAGGAGTGAGTTAATTAAATGTTTGACCAAATACAGCAGGCTAATTTTTAAGTTGATAGTTTTGTATGGCCGGTGAATGATGTTACAAATATCCAAATGGCCCTTGGCAGAAAAAAGACACCTCATCCCTGTTGTAAGGGGAGAGGCACAGAGTCGGCACTGTGGAAAAGGACATTGCAAGTAAGTTTGTTGGTCTCTAACTTCTCTGAGCTACTTAATTGACGGTCACCCATCACCTCACCACCCGTGAGCCTAGTTTTCCAGTAAAAATCAGGAAGAAGATAATTGGATGCTGTCTTGAGCTGTATGTAGTTCACTATCAGCCGATCTAATTCCCTTTACTTTTTGCAAAGATCTCAGGGGAGGTTCAGGTTATCATAGAAGAGGGTAAGATGAAAACGTGGCACCTCGGAATACCAGTCCTGAAGAAGCAGATATTTTATTTCACTTGCATTTGAGCTCAGGCAGGGATCAAGGTATTAACAGCCTCGTGACACAATTAGCATACACCAGTCTGTTTTTCAGGATTTTCAGATGAGGATACTCATATACCTCTTGACAGTTTGGGGGATATTAATTTATCACATCAAAGTGATAATGATTGAATGTTTAGAGATTAGCCCTGCAGAACTTTTTTGTGGCTGTTAATCCTCACTGGAGGATATTTTTTCCATTGATTTTTAGAGAGAGAGTGGGAGTGAGGGGGCAGGTGGGGAGAGAAAGAAACATCGATGTGAGAGAGACACGTCTATTGGTTGTGTTCCGTATGTACCCTGACTGGGGCTGGGGATAAACCTGTAACCCAGGCACATGCCCTTGACCTGGAAACAAACCTATGACCGTTTGGTCCTTGGGTGATGCAGGATTTTTTTTTCTTTATTGATTTTAGAGAAAACGATAGAAACATCGGTGAGAGAGAACATCGATTGGCTACCTCCTGCATGCCCCCCACTGGGGATTAGGCCCACAACCTGGGCATGTGCCCTGACCAGGAATCGAACCAGCGATCTCTTGGTGCATGGGTCCACGCTCAACCACTGAGCCACACTGGCCGGGTGATACAGGATATTTTAAATTATACTGGGTCTGAAGACAGAGCTCCACTTCTTTCTTTTTTTCTTTGTTCTCTTTCATAAATGAAATTTGCATCCTTTTTATAATAGGCGAGATGATGCCTATTGGCCAGAAGGAAAACGTGCAGCCCTGGAGGACCGGTACCGCCCAGATTTCCCTCGGTATGATCACCGCTTCCACGACTTCGACCATCGAGACCGAGGCCAGTACCAGGACCATGTAGTCGACAGGTCAGTGTCTCACCCTCTTTCTGCAGTGGGGACAGGTCTCCATCTGTTCTCTTAATATCTGATTTATTTGTGAGAGCCCTAGTAGACTTTGACCAGCTGCACATGACATGAGATTTAGAAATATAGGCCTTGCCCAGCCAGAGGGGCTCAATGGTTGAGCATTGACCCATGCACCGAGAGGTCACTGGTGTGATTCCTGGTCAGGGCGCATGCCCAGGTTTCAGGCTTGATCTCTGGTAGGGTTGTGCAGGAGGCAGCCAATGGATGTTTCTCTCTCATTGATGTTTCTCTCTCTCACTCCCTTTTTCTCTCTAAAATTTGATAAAAATATAAAAAAAGAAAGAATGAAACGTAGGCCTTGACCAAGGTGTTGGGATCAGTGGTCACTTATAGCATCCACAACTTGTCTGTCAGGGCTCGTTTCATACGCTGTCCTTTGCACAGATAGGACAGATGAGGCACTGTGCAGGACCTGAGTCTCAGCATTCCCCAGTACTCAGGTCTCTTGAGGGTGGTCCAGGCTCTGAGTTTCACATCTCCCTGGGGATTCCTCCCTGTTCCTCCCGTCAGCACCAGCCCCCCTGGGATCACAGGGCTTTGTTAATATACATAGATGAAAAAGCAGTTTTTAGAAGAGGTTTGACCTGCCTGAGCTTGCAAAGACAAAGTAGGCAGGAACCCACATCTGTGAGGTTCATTGGCATGTGTAAGTTTCTGTGCCAGCAAATTACAAAGAGAACTGATCGGAGAATATGGGGCATTTCTTATTGGGCCTTCTTTGTGTTTCACAAGTCTGGGTGGATTTTTTTAGCCAGTGTTCTTTTTGTCTTTGTAGTGCCTTGTTTAATGAGGACTATATCTACTTGATTAGGAAGACAGCCCTCACTTTTCCAGTTGAAGAGTTCTCTCTTTGGGAGAAATCTTACTGGGCTCCCCTGGGCTGCATATCCTGGAGCCATTTCACCATTCATTAGCTCTCTGTAAGGGAAGAGGAAACAGGAGAAAGGTAGCTAAAAAGCCACTCATTTAATTCATTGTGGCTGGAGTTGGTTGAGATTTGGTATGAGTCACATGTGTTGGGCTAAACCAGAGATTAAGTTTTTCTTTTACCTTGACTATTGTCACCAGGCCATGTAAATGAGGCCTTAGCTTCATTCAGGGGTCTCTGTTTCTGAGACCCCTTCCTCTGAGGGATTTCAGTAAAATTCTTATTCCTCCCTTGTTGGGGTCTGACTTCACTCTCACCACGAGGGAAAAATATAAGCCAGCTTTCTTTTTCTTTAATCAGGCAGTGTTTACATGGGGAAATAGAATGAGTATCCTAATTTTGGAACTGTTATGTAGGGCCTGCACAAATGTCGTATGGTACCATCAGCTGCCATTGGAATTAGATTTTTTTCCCCCTTCAGGAGAGAAGGCTCAAGGTCAGTGCTGGGAGAGCGAGATGGACAGGTGAGTAACACCCAGACACCGGGTGCCTGTTCTGTGTCTGGGTGGGCAGGGGAGTGTTCTGGCCATTATTACAAGTGCACAGAATTGCTTGTTTTCTGATGAGTGGAATCTTTGTTCAGATGCTTGGGGCTTTTTCTTGTTTAATTTTGTCCAGCAGAATCTGCAGATATCTCTTGTTGCCTGCTTGCTTAGAATGCCTCTGAGTGTTGGGACTGAGGTGCCCACTGTACCCCAGATGGGGATTAGTGGCCTATTAGGGGGTCATTTAGCCCATGTTTGAGGGGGTCCCTCTGTTTCAGGTGCTAGGGTAGGTCCTGGTGTCTTCAATGTGCCGACACCTGGTAAGGGGTGCATAAGGTGTTAGCTCAGAGAAAAAGGGAGCTTGCATAAAAAAGGCAGGGGACAGCCATCAGAATCTTGGTTTTTAAAATAGGAGGCCCTGGCCAGTTTGGCTCAGCAGTAGCGTGTCAGCCCAAGGACCAATGAGTTGTGGGTTCGATTCTGGCCAAGGGCACGTACATTGGTTGTGGTTCATCCCTGGCCCCAGTCAGGGTCTTGCAGGAGGCAACCATTCGATGTGTCCCTCTCACATCAATGTTTCTCTCTCCCTCCCTTCCTCTCCCTCTCTCTCCCTTCCACTCTATCTGAAGAGAGATAGAAAAATATCCTCAAGTGAGGATTTTAAAAAATTAATTTAAAAAATAAAATAGGGGTGTGTTTTCTGAGAACAGTAGACCAGCTCTGTCACTGCCCAGATGTGCTGGGTTCCTGAGCACAGAGCTGGTTGGCCAGGGCACTGAAGTTCCTTTCTTCAGCATTTGCCTCCACTGTCAGCTATTGAGAGGCTGTGCCACCTCCATAGATTGATGGCAAAGGAGGAAGTCGGGGGTGTTGGAGGGGCCCTCCTGTCACCAGCAAGAAGGATGGTCCCAGTCTTCGATCCCCAGTAGGGGGCGTCTCAGTGGACCCTTCAGGGGAGGCATCGAGTGCCATAAAACTTGACTCTCCACACTCACAGGGCCAGAGAGGCTAGTACTGGCTCTGTGTGTGGCACCAGTGATGGAGCTCTAGGGGCACTCTGTTCTCAAGCAAGAAAGCAAAGAGCTCTGCCAGGAGCTACTATAGCATTGTTAGGGTTTCAGGCAGAGCCTCCAACAAAGTGAGATTCAGAATGGGCCTGGGCAGGTCCTCTCAGAGTGGCCAGAAGTTCTTCGCCACACCCTGGCCCACCTCAGCAGGGCATACAGATTGACAGACTTTCCAGAAGATGGGCCTGCCTCAGGCTTGTAGGTAGTGATGTGGCTAGAATTGCCCTGTTCCTCTTCTGCCTTTCAGCACTATTCAGATGACCGCCATGGCCATGGAGGGCCACCAGAGCGCCATGGCCGGGACTCTCGAGATGGCTGGGGAGGCTACGGCTCAGACAAAAGGATGAGCGAGGGCCGTGGGCTGCCACCTCCACCCAGGTTAGTGGGCGGGCCACAACAGGTGTGGGCATCTTCCCCAGGTTAGAGGCCTGCCCCTCTGAAAGTGAACTGGTTGTGTGCACCTTGCCAGGTTGCCTACATTACCCCAGGTATGAACATCTCCATCACAAGGCCCTTGCCTGCTGGAGGAAATATCCATGGAGCCTTTCTTAGATTTGTCCCCCTGGACAATAGAGAAGCTTTATTCTCCCCCTTAAGCACACACACACCCAAAGTTGTCTTTAGGAATTTTGAAGGCCAGCATCTTCGATACCAGAAAGTTCTACTTTATCTCTCATGGGGTTTCAGGTGTTGGGCAAAGACTGCAGCGCCAGTCTGGTAGATTAATGCAAAGTGTACTTTCTTGAGCAACCTACTTAGTGCTTGGTCGTTTAACATTTAAATCATTTTTTTTAAGTACCTGTGGGAAATGTAAATGGGAGATCTCTTCCTCAGACAGGAGACAGCCCTGAGCAGCATCACTGCATGATTGGGTGGCTGTCACCTGCTGGCATACATTAGAAACTTTCAGGTCTCACTTTTGGGGAACAGTATTACATTTGCCCTCGAAGACAGGTGTTAAGGGTTGTCGTGGGTTCCTAATCCTGGCCTCTGAGCACCAGTCAGCCAGGTGGCCAGTGCACTTGTCATTCCAGGCTCAGCCTTGGTCTGGGAAAGCTTTCCTGGACAGCCATGGTGACTGCTGGTGCCCATACTCTGTTTGGATTTTAATCTTCCAGAGTTTCTGTCTGAAACATTTTTCTTTTTTAAACACCTTTTTTGAGACACAGTTCGCATGCCACACAATTCACTCATTTAAAGTGTACAGTTCAACCCAGCCGGTGTGGCTCAGTGGTTGAGCGTCGACCCAGGAGGTCACAGGTTTGATTCCTGTCAGGGCACATGCCCAAGTTGTAGGCCCAATCCCCAGTGTAAGGCATGCGGGAGGTGGCCAATTGATGTTCTCTCTCATCAGTGATTCTATTTCTCTCTCCCTTCCTCTTTCTCTAAATAAAAAAATCAATAAAAACATATTAACATGTACAATTCAGCCCAGCTGATGTGGCTCAATGGATTGAGCATCGGCCCATGCATCAAGAGGTCATTGGTTCAATTCCTGGTAAGGGCACGGGTCTGGGTTGCAGGCTCGATCCCCAGTAGGGGGCGTGCAGGAGGCAGCCAATTGATGTTTCTTTCTTATCGATGTTTCCATCTCCCTCTTCTTTTCCCTTCCTCTCGCTCTAAAACATCAATAAAAATATATTTTAAAAGCCCTGGCTTGTCTTGTTCAATGGTTAGAGCATCAACCTGTGGACCGAAGTTTTGGGTTTTATTCTAGTCAAGGGTATGTACCTCAGTTGCAGGTTCGATTCCTGGCCCTAGTCAGGCTCGGGTGGGAGCCACCAATCAGTATGTCTCTCATCAATGTCTTCTCTCTCCCTCTCTCTATCCCCCTCTCTCCCTTCTTCCTACTCTGAAAAATCAATGGAAAAATATCCTCAGGTGAGATTTATTTTATTTTTTTATTAATGTTTTATTGATTTTTTTTTTTTTTTTAAGAGAGAGGGGAAGGGCCCTGGCCAGTTTGGCTCAGCGGTTAGAGCGTCGGCCTGCGGTCTGGAGAGACCCGGGTTCGGTTCCTGCTAAGGGCACGTACTTCGGTTGCAGTTTGTCCCCGGCCCTGGTTGGTGTGCGGGTGGCAGCCACTCGATGTGTCCCTTCACGTCAATGTTTCTCTCTCTCTCTCCCTTCCTCTCTCTCCCTCCCACTCTATCTGTACAAAAAATGGAAAAATATCCTCGGGTGAGGATAAAAAAAAAAAAAAAGAGAGAGAGAGAGGGGAAGGGAGAGGGAGAGTAGATGGAAATATCAATGCCTGCACATCCCCTACTGGGATCGAGCCTGCAACCTGGGCATGTGCCCTGACTAATAATTGAATCAGGACCTCTCAGTCCGTGGGACGATGCTCAATCCACTGAGCCATACTGGCCAGGCCTCTTGTTTCTAGTTCTCCTTTACTCTCTCTAAATAATCAATAAAAACATTTTTTAAAACTATTATAAAAATATATATATTTTAAAAATTAAAAATGAAGTGTGTAATTTAGTAGCTTTCAGTATGTCCATAACTTGTGCAGCCTTCACCAGTCTATTCTAGAACATCTTCACTTCAAAAAGAAGCTCTGCCCCAGGCAGCATTCATTCCCCTCCCTCAGTCCCTGCAACCACTTCCTATATCTGGATGTGCCTGTTCTGGACATTTCACATAAACAGAACCACACACCCCGTGTGGCATTTTTGTCTGATTTCTGTCATTGAGTATCATGTGTTCAAGGTTCATCTACATTGTAGTGAGTGACAGTGCTTCACTCTGTTTTTTTATAATGTATTGATTTGAGAGAGAGAGAGAGATTTGTTGCTCCACTCATTTGCATACTCAGTTGAATTTTTTCTTTTTTTTTTTTTATCCTCACCTGAGGACATTTTTTCCATTTTTTGTTCAGATAGAGAGGGAGGAAGAGAGAGAGAAACATTGATGTGAAAGGGACACATCAAGTGGTTACCACCCGCACAACCCCAACCAGGGTTGGGGGCAAACTGCAACCAAGATACATGCCCTTAGCGGGAACCAAACCCAGGTCTCTCTGGACCACAGGCTGACGCTCTAACCACTGAGCAAAACAGGCCAGGGCTCATTAGTTGATTTTTGTATATGCCCTGTCTTGGGATCAAACCTGCAACCTTAGCTTATCAGGACAATGCTGTAACCAACTGAGCTACCCAACCAAGGCCTGTCTGTCTTTCTGATAAGCCATGGTGGGTGGATCTCATGTGTCTCATTATTGTGGTTGTGATGTTACTGGTGCTGAACACCTTCTCATGTGCTTAGTGGTCATGTGTGTACTTTTGGAGAAGTTTCTGTTCCCTTCTTCACCCCCTTCCCTCAGAAACTTTGATGAGAGGCATACTGGGACTGTGGTGTATCTGCTTTATTTCCCTCCGGTACAGGGGTGGACGTGACTGGACAGAGCACAGTCAGAGGCTAGAAGAGCACCAGGAGCGTGCCTGGCCGGGCATGGTAGACACAGGCACAGCAGGCCGGGAGCATGCCAGGTGGCTAGGTATGGGCTAACTCCCACCCATGGGGGGAGGGGGAGCGGGAGTTCCCAGGGAGGGGTGGCTAGTCCCAGAACTCTCCACAGGCCAGCTTTCCCCCAGCATTTCCAGAAACTTCTAAGAAGGGAGTGTTTGCAGACTCTTTCTTCTCTTCCAGGTGGTGAGAGGGGCCTCTCTGGGCCCTCAGGGCCAGGACACATGGCCAATCGGGGTGGAATGTCGGGGTAAGAAGTTTTGTCCTGGATAAAATTGATTTGTTCCTACTCCTCACTTCCTCTCCCTTTTTTGCATGTTTGATCAACTTGCTGGGTTGAATGTTTTAAAAACAAATCTCAAAAGCAGCTCTTGGCAACTTGCACAAGTAACACTGTCCAGTGACCAGGAATGTGGTCTGTCATTGGGATGTTTCTCACCCGGAGAAAACCACGCAGGCTCTAAAGGCTGCAGAGCTGTGTACCACGCCATATTATGGTGAAAATGTAAAGCACTTCGAGGGGACAAACATGTGCCTTTGTTCCTAGGCGAGGCGGCTTTGCACAAGGTGGGCATTCCCAGGGCCACGTGGTGCCCGGTGGAGGACTGGAAGGTGGAGGACTGGCCGGCCAGGACCGGGGCAGCAGAGTCCCGCATCCCCACCCCCACCCATACCCCCACTTCACTCGTCGATACTAAACCCCACTCCCTCCGCCTGTTCAGGTAGACAGATGCACTGTTGAATCTCTTAGCCAGTTACCTTGAACTTGTGGAATGTTTTAAGAAACAAAAACAAATCCTGCCACCATGTTGTAGCTCTATAATATGTGAATTCACTTTTTTTTTTTTAAATAAGTGTGGTCTTGTCCTGCCATTTTTGAGACAAGGTTTCTGTAACAAGGCATTCCATTTTCCATTAATAAAAGTTTACGGTTCGCATTCTGATGTGTATGTTGTGGTGATTACAGAGCAGAGAGCAGCACCGTTGCGCACTTGGGTGTCAGCTACCACTCATCATACTTGAACTCTCCCAACTGACAATGAAGTAAATGTCACCTCCCCATCTGAGAGATGAGGAGCCAGGTGCAGGGGTTAGATCACATGCCCAAGGTTGTAGGTGGTATTTTATTGAGGGGAGGGCTGTGTGCATTGTGGAGCCTCTGACTACTTCACCCTTTGTGCCAGAGTGCCTAGGGCAGTGTCCAGTGATGGTGTGGGGTTTGGGGGCCTGGCTAAGGGGTGGGTATGTGTGGTGAGCCCTGCAGTGCTTAGCAGCTGCCCTCGTCCCCCCCAGAGCACACTGGCCCTTCTAAAAGGGCAACAACCCTTGCTCGGCACAAGCTCAGTGTGCCCAAGCCAGTAATTTTTCTGGAAGTGCAAATTCACATGTGAAATCTCATTTGTGATAGAAGTGGTTCCAGTTTTCTTCATCAAAGACTGCTGAACAAGGCACCTGGCTGGCCAGAGGTGCCATGTCACAAGCTCCCGGTCAGGCACCACAGTGAGGTGCTTCTCTTTCTCTGGGAGAAAAGCAGTTGCACAAGCAGACTGCCAGCAGGGAGTGGGTGACTGCAGGCGTGTTGGGGCAGCAAAAAGCCAAATCCGTCATCTCATGAGTGGGAGGTCTAGTGGCCCCAAGGTTCCTGGAGCAGGAGGGAGAGCTTGCTTCCCACCATTCCTGGCCCTGGTCCAGTGTGGTAAGAGTTAATCCACTGTGCTGCCTGCTGGGGACCTCAATTCTCTCCCCTTGGTAACTAGGACAGCCACCCCACAGGCCCCCAAACAATTGCAAATTCTCCCTGAGTACCCTGAGTTCCTGCTGGGCTGTTTAGTTTTAAAAGAGCAATCTGAAAATCCCCAGCATTAAAGGCAGGTCAGTGCTGGCCCTCTGTGTCCTGTCTGTTTGAATTGCTGCAAATAAACACTTCGTTTGCTTCCTCCACCACAGGGGCTTGTAGAGTCCTTTTCCAAAGACAGGTTGACAGGACATCAACTCCATGTTGTGCATGGGGGCCTGCACAGCATGTTGTCTCCTGCACGGAGGTCTGTCTCCTCTTTTCAAGCTATAGTCTAGAAATTGGGTCTGGACTTTCCATTTTGGGTGCAAAAAGAGACTCGCTGGCCGGTTTGGTTCAGGGGTTATGGCGTCGGCCTGCGGTCCAGAGACACCTGGGTTCAGTTCCCGCTAAGGGCACGTACCTCAGTTGCAGTTTGTCCCCGGCCCTGGTTGGGTCGTGCGGGTGGCAACCACTTGATGTGTTCCTTTCACATCAATGTTTCTCTCTCCCTCCCTCCCATTTTATCTGAACAAAGAAATGGAAAAATGTCCTCAGGTGAGGATTTAAAAAAAAAAGAGACTCAAGCTTGGGTAGTGGGTGAGACCAGTTTTTAGCTGTTGTCATAGATGCAATGGAGCAACTACTCTGGCAGGCAGAGTGGCGTCCTGGAGTGCCACCAGGGCTCTCAACTGGGGCACTACCATCAAGCTGCTCCATGGAGCCTTGGGAAACAGTGTAGGCTGTTGTTCCCTCTGGACAGTCCCTGGGGGTGAGAACAGCCCCTTCCTAGTTAGCTGGGCCTAAAACCAAGCTGTTTTATATAGACACAAAATACATTTATTTGCTAGGGCTGCCGTAACAGTACTGCAAACTGTGGTTTGAAACAAATTTATTCTCTCCCAGTTATGGAGGCCAGAAGTTCAAGATCAAAGTGTTTGCAGGGCTGGTTCCTTCTAAGGCCATGAGGAAAATTCTGTTTTAGGCTTCCCCTTATTTCTGGTGGTCGCTGGCAATCTTTGGAGTTCTTGGCTTGTGGAAGCACCCTATCTGCCTGCCGCCTTCATCCAGCCTCCCTGTGTGTCTGCATCCAAATGTTCCTCCACCTTTTATAGATAGATAGATAGATAGATAGATAGATAGATAGATAGATAGATAGATAGAGATAGAGATATATTTTATTGATGTTTTGAGAGAGAGAAACATCGCTGTGAAAGAGAAACATTGATCAGCTGCCTCCTGCACGCCCCCTACTGGGATCAAGCCCGCAACCCAGGCATGTGCCCTGTCCGGGAATTGAACCAGGACCTCTCAGTTCATGGGACTACTCTCAATCCACTGAGCCACACTGGCCAGGCTAAATGTGTCCCCCCCCCCCCCCCCCCCCGCCGCCTTTTTAAAAAAAAATATTTTTTTCTTTATTGATTAAAAAAAATTTTTTTTTTCTTTATTGATTTTTTGTTAAGAGAGAAAGAGAGAAACATCGATGAGAAATATCGTTGATTGGCCATGTCCTGCATGCCCCGCAACGGAGATTGGGCCCACAACCTGGGCATGTTTCTTGACCGGGAATTGAACCGGTGACCTCTTGGTGCATGGGTCAATGCTCAACCAGTGAGCTACACTGGCCGGGCTAAATGTCCCCTTTTTATTTTTATTTTTTAATTTTTTTTTTATCTTCACCCGAGGACATTTTTGCATTTATCTACAGATAGAGCAGGAGGGAGACAGGGAGAAAGAGAGAGAGAGAAACATTGACGTGAGAGAGACACATGGAGTGGTTGCCACCCACACAACCCCAACCAGGGCTGGGGATAAACTGCAACCGAAGTACATGCCCTTAGCGGGAACCAAACCCAGGATTCTCTGGTCCACAGGCTGATGCTCTAACTGCTGAGCCAAAATGGCCAGGGCTAAATGTCCCCTTTTTATAAGGGGACATAATCATACTGGTTTAGGGTCACCCCAGTGACCTCATGTTACCTGTGTAAAGGCCTTGTCTCCAAATGGGGTCACATTCTGAGGTCCGGGGCCCAGAATTTCAACATGAATTGGGGGGGAGCACCATTCACTGGCTAATAGTACTCTTCACAGTTTTCATACATATGGATTTTTTCAGGGATGCAACTTCTGGGTAAATTGAGAGGATTGCTCATTGTTCAGTACAGAATCTTACCAAGAGTGCACCATTTCTCTGAGCAGAGCTGCTGGGGTCTCGATTCCTCCCCATGATTCTGTCTGATGGGCACCGTCTGAATAGGTAGGTCCTCACCATCGTGCTCGTCAGGCTGGGTGAGACAGTATTGGACATTCTTTTCTTTTTATTTCTTCTGTCTGTATCTGATAAGACATCACACTGGTTAGCTTGTTTTTAAATTGTGCGTAGTTAGATTATATTCACTCTGATTTTTATTTCAGGAGAGAAAAGGAAGGTTGAACAAAATATCTGTTATAAAAGGGGCTGCAAATGGACACTCGGGTTATTTCCACGTGGACTTTTGGCTCCTGTGAACAATGCTGCCATGAAGACGGGTGTATGGGTTTGTCATTCTCCTGGGTGAGACCTAGGAATGGAATTGCTGGGTCAGTCGGTAACTCTGTTTAACTTTGAGGAACCACCGCCTGTTACCTACAGCGGTGGCACCATTTTTCATTCCCACCAGCCATGCACAAGCATTCTGATTTCTCCACATCCCTGCCGGCACTTGCTATTTCCTATTTTTGTTTGTTTGTTTGTTTGTTTGTTTTATAATAGCCATCCTAATTGGAGGGGTGGTGATCATCCAGACAATAGAATATTTTTCGATCTTAAAAAGGAAGGAAATGCCAACACCTGCTACAATGTGGATGAACCTTGAGGACATTATGCTTAGTGAAATAATCCACTCAAAAAAGGACAGAGACTGTGTGGTTCCACTCATAGGAGGTCCTTAGGAGAAGTGAGCTCTATAGAGACAGAAAGTAGATGGTGGGAGCCAGGGGCTGGGGCAGGGGGATGGAGAGTTAGTGTTTAATGGGGACAAGTTTCAGTTTGGGAAAATGAGAAAGTTCTGGGGATGAATGGTAGGGATGGTTGCAGGAAAATACCAATGTACTTAATGCCACTGAGCTGTGCACTTAACAATTGCTTACATTTTATGTGTATTTGATCACAATTTTAAAATAATTTTAAAGGTAGTGGGTCTGTTAAGTATCAGGAGTGAGAACTACCAGGATATAAGCTGGGGGCAGGCTCAAGAACCCAGACTGCTTGCCCACAGGGAGTTACTGGTTTTTCTCTGCTCTGGCTTCCTTAACTGGAAGAAGGGAATAATGATAGTATTTACCATAGAGGACCTTTGCTATAGTTCATTTAATTAATATAGCGCTGACTGAGTGGCTCAGTTGGTTGGAGTATTGTCCATATACCAAAAGGTTGCAGGTTTGATCCCTCATCAGGGCGTGAATGGGAGGCAACCAATGTTTCTCTCTCACATCAAAGTTTCTTTTTCCCTTCCTCTCTCTAAACATCAATAGACATATCATCAGATGAGGATTTTTTTAAAAAACTTAACATACTTATAAAGCTCAAAATTGCTCCTAGCATGCAGTAAGTACTTAATAAATGTTGACAGGCACTGAGAGGCCCTGCAGGAATAGGGCCTAGGGTTCTCTGTTTTACGGGAGACCTGTGCAATGTGAAGCCTAGCAAAGAGAAGGAAGAATCTATTGACTCCACAAATACAAAAAGAAAACTGTAAAATCAGAATAAATACCTTATTAAATGTCTCCACATCTACAAAAATGTGTCAATTTCATCAACTGCTAAATTTTGTATCATAAAGATCTCATTATATTTCAAAACAGCTCCTAGGTTAAATTTTCTCACTTCGTAGGAATTCCCACACCCACACAATGATTGCCAGGCTTACATTGCATGTGTTACTTTTAGTCAAAAAATGTCAAATGCAATGTTATAAAAATGGCTTTTGATTTTTTAAAAACACAGCCACAGAGTCATTGGTTAGTGGGGATGAGGTGCCTTTTAACTGGCTTGCAGGTTGAGGGGCAAGGTCTCCACTGTAAAGTAAGATTGTCTCTACCTTGGTCACACCATCCAGGATGAGGCTCAGATGTGACAGCATCAAAAACCAGAAAATAAAGACATAGCCAATACACCTGGAATGTAGTAGGCACAGAGCAAATGCTTACCGAATTTATGAAGAGGAGAAAGAAAATACATAGTAATCCTGTATTTTCAAGTTTTCAGATTGCTGCATCTCTTGAGTGGCCTATTGGCGCCTTTGAGGCCTGGTAGAAAATTCCTCTAGTTTAAAGTGTGATGGGGCCACCAAATCCTGTCTCCTGGTGTCTTCAGTAAACACCAGGTGGCAGACTATCTGCTGAGATTCAGAGGGAACACTGCAAACACGTTTGGGCGTGTGCAGTAGTAAGGCTGCCATTACTAAGAAAGGACGGAGCAATACATCTAGCAAGAGTTACCAGCAGCTCTGAGTTGGGGTTCCCAAGCCCCAATTCAGACCTCCTGGTTTGAGTCAGACCTTATCTCCAGCCACTCCTGGGATCCTGAAAGTTGAGAAGCGTTGGGATGGTGGCCCCTTTGGGGAGGCCTCCATGACGGTTGGATGACTTGAGACCAAGCTAGGTGGGAGAGTTTCAATCCCAATTCTGCCCTTCCCCACCTGGATGACCTTGAACCCTTCTGAATTTTCTTATAAAATGGGCAGGGTGATTCCGAGGATGTGAGGTGATGCATTTAAAGTGCTTTACACAGTATCTGCATGTAGTAGGCACTTAGAAAATGGTTGTAGTTGCTAATTCTAGCTAAAAGAACAGGTCTAAATTAGGCCTTCTGCCTCATTGCCAGAAAGCTCTCCCCCTAAGGATTAAGTGTGGCCTTTGGATGTAGGGAAGGGGTCCATTCGGCATCCATGTTCATCGTGGCTATAATCTATTATGTTGCATTAGCAATTTTTTTAAATCCTCACCCGAGAATATTTTTCCATTTTTCTTCAGATAGAGTGGGAGGAAGGGAGAGAGAGAAACATCAATGTGAGAGAGACACATCAACTGGTTGCCTCCCGCAGGACCCCGACTAGGGCCAAGGAATAACCACAACCGAGATACGTGCCCTTGACTGGAATTGAACCCACAACTCATTGGCCGATGCTCTAACTGTTGAGCCAAACTGGCCAGGGCTCAATTTTTTTATTTTAAATGTTTTTATTGCTTTTAGAGAAAGGAAGGGAGAGAGAAACATCAATTGGCATGCTCCCCACCGCGGACCAAGCATGTGCCCTGACCTAGAATCAAACTGGTGACCTCTTAGTGTGTAGGTCAATGCTCAGCCAACTGAGCCACACTAGCCAGGGCACATTAGCCATTTTTGTTTGGGTTTTTTTGTTTGTTCATTTTTTAGAGACAGAAGAAGGGGGAGAGAGAGAGAGAAATATTTATCAGCTGCCTCCTGCATGTTCCCCACTGGGTATCGAGCCCACAACCCGGGCATGTGCCCTGACCGAGAATTGAACCGGGACCTCTCAGTCCATGGGATGACACTCAATCCACTAAGCCACACCAACCGGGCCCATTAGCCATTTTTAAAGCCAGAGGCCCAGATTCAGCCTCTTGAATACTGCACACTGCAGGGTTAAGCACTGGGAGCCGCTGATGTCCTCTTGCTGCTGCTTCTGGTTCTACAGTCTTACCTACCCTGGGCCAACCTGCTGTGAAACTGCCGGGACGCCCCACATACCCAGTCACAGAAACCTCGAGTTAGGCCCTACGGGGAGGCTCATTAAAGGCACTGAAGCTTCTCCTGCATAGATGCTGCCGGCCACGGCGGACCAAATATTTACAGACTCAGCTGAAATGAGACCCAGCAGGGTAGATTTCACAAGCAGCCCAGAAAATGTCCCTTTACCCCCTGTCCCTGGAAAAATGGGGCACAGAGAGGGAAGAAGCCCCTTTCCACCCCCCAGCAAGGCAGGATCAAAGATCTTGGCTTAAGAGCATGCCTCTGAGCCTCTTCTAGCTCACACTTTCATTCAGCAAACACTTCCTTGAGCATTTCCTGTGTGCTGAGCTCTGTGCCAGGGACATAGCTATGACCATCACTGAAGCAGACCTGACCTCTGGAGCTCAACGGATGATTTCAAGGAGGGGTGGAGTAAACTCTGGCTTCCTGGAGGAGGTGACTGGAAGGGCATTCTGGGAGAGAACAGAATGGGCAGTAGCTCAGAGGAACTGAGCAAGCAGGAGCAGGGGAGACATGGAGTCAGACAGAGTGGACTCCAAAGTCCAGGATCAGGCTGTCAGCTAGCAGGCAATGGGGGACCGTGGTGGATTTTTACTTTTTTTTTTTTTTTTTTTTTTTTTATCCTCACCTGAGGATATTTTTCCATTTTTCGTACAGATAGAGTGGGAGGGAGAGAGAGGAAGGGAGAGAGAGAGAGAAACATCGACGTGAAGGGACACATCGAGTGGCTGCCACCCGCACGACCAACCAGGGCCGGGGACAAACTGCAACCGAAGTACGTGCCCTTAGCGGGAACCGAACCCGGGTCTCTCCGGACCGCAGGCCGACACTCTAACCGCTAAGCCAAACTGGCCAGGGCGGATTTTTACTTTTTATTTTATTAAAAAATATGTTTTTATTGATTTTTTTTTTTTTTTTTTTTTTTTTAGAGAGAGAGATAGAAACATCGATGTGAGAGAGAAACATCAATCAGCTGCCTCCTGCATATCCCCTACTGGGGATGGAGCTGGCAACATGGGCATGGGCCCTGACTGGCAATCGAACAAGGACCTCTCAGTCCATGGGACAATGCTCAATCCACTGAGCCACACCAGCTGGGCCTAATAGTGGGTTTTTAATAGAGAGGAGATCCCTGCCCTCCCAGCAAGGTTCAAGGGTATCTCTCGCCTCTCTCTCTTCTCTTGCTCTCTCTCTCTCTCTCTCTGTCTCTCTGTCTCTCGCTCTCGCTCTCGCTCTCTCAGGCCTTCCTTGCTTGGGGTCCAAATCCTCACTGCCCTGGCGCCCCCCTCCCATGCAACTCGTATGTGCCACCTTTAGGGAGCCAGCAGCAGCCAGCGCTGGGGAAGGGGTAAGCCAAGGTGGGCTCATGAGCCTCTTCAATCACCTCTCCCTGTGCACCCTTCTTATTAGCCACATCCTCTGTTCTCCTGCTCTGCAGGCTCTATTTGGACAAAGGCAGAGCAGGAGACCCATGTGTTCCTCCAAGCATGAGGTCCCCTCCCCAAAGACCAGAACATAGGAGGTAGGTGTGGCTGGCAGGCAAGGCTGATGAGGTTGGTTATCACAGCCCACCCGGACTGAGTCATAGCGACAGCCTATGAGTGGTAGGAAGTGCCAGGAGAATGCCATGGGGGACAGAGCACAGAGGATGCATAGGGAAGGGGAACTGGAGGCCCCTGGCTCAGTTATTGAAGAGGCCTTGTTCTCTGGCTGTGGGGAGAAAGAAAAAGAGAGATGGAGATCTGTAGAAGAGGAGACAGAGCTGCAGAGAGAGGCGGACACAGAAAGAAGAAAGACAGAAGAGAGCAGAGACTTAGACACAGAGAGAGAGAGACGCAAATAGAGACAAAAGCAATCTCAGAGGGACTCGGGCACCCAGAGATGTTGAGCCTCGGAGCTGTCATGCCCCCGTCCCCTGTGCCCGCCAGGTGGCGCCCCAAAGCCAC